CAGGAAGCTGCTGCAGCCAATTGGAAGCTGCGCCTTGGTTTTTGAACGTTTTGGAAGTTGAACGGACTTCTGGAACGGATTGCATTCAAGAACCAAGGTACCACTGTAGTACAATGTTGAAATCCACCCACTGCTACACACACTCCATTCTCTGAGTGGCGAAAGACTTCAGCTGGTCCAACGCTTACCTCAGGTTTGGTTTCTCTGGGGTGAAGGTCTCTGGGCACTGTGGTGTCTTTTTGAAATATTGTCTTAATTACACGTATATACAAAGGCTTCTTACAGCATTAACACTCCAACAGATTTTGCTTTCCTGTTAGGTTCTTAGGAGAATCCTCATAAGCATAGCTTTGGCCTATTGTTTCCCTGTTTCTAGGGTGGCTTGGCTTCCAGCCAGGTGAGGGGATGGGAAGAGACCTTCTGCCTCCTCCTGGAAGAATTGCTAGGTAGTTGCTTTTATGACCACACACCTTTATTTCACCTTTACACATGTAAAAAAGATGCTTAACAGGCTTGGCTTGGGCCATTAACTTAACAGAGACTGGTTTGACCACTTTAGCCGTTCCTTCTATCACACACTCTCAGCTTACAGATATAAAACCAGAGTTCTGTGGGTTCTGTGAGTTCTAAATGGAAACCCAGCCAGTATTCTAACTGCCATATTTTGGGACAGTTGAGAGTTCTGGGTCTTCTTCAAGAACAGCCTCATGCTCAGTGTGGAGGGGAGGAAACCACCCATTTCTCCATTCACTGCAGTTCCTCAATCCTTTCTGGAAATTTCAGTGATTAGTCTTGACTTCTCAGGTGAGAGGAAATCCCTGGTATTCCTAAAGAAGTTATTGCTTCCACAGTTCTTCCAAGGAGTTTATTCCAAAATTCATAACTGTTGCACCTCCAGGATGCCTTAGTGCTCTTTGTATGAAAAATTAAGCAAGTTTGTTTTTGTCAGATTGAATCCACTTTGCTGCCTTCTCTCAAAATTGTTTCCCATTTATTTACCTAAACAATAGCTGTCAGTTTGAAAGTGAACACTTCAAAGCCAACCCTGTTCACCAGCTTTCCAACTCTTCAACCTGACAATTAAGTTATAGATCCTGCTACATATATTCTGCTACCCTTCATGGTCTTTGAAACCTGCCAACATCAAGGTTTATTCTATCTTGAATAAACTTATATTTTACTGCAAGTTAAAGCCTGTGATGTCCATGCTAAACAGTATATGTTTAAGAGAGAGAGGAAGAGAAAGGTATTCAGTTTCATGTGGTTCCTGGAGATGTTAGATGTAGAAAATAATGTGCTTACATGCTGACGATAGTAAATACAAATTTAAATTGTTATAATTGCTTACAGTTATCTGTTAGAATTGTCACACATAATCCATATACCTTTGAAAGGCACTGGCTCATTTTGCACTCTTGCCAAGCCAGCTGATTTGTATCTTAAAACACCAGATGCTATGGTTAGTCATTTTTCCTAGACGGATAATTATCCTTCTACTTCCTTCCCTCAAACATTCACAGTATTAACTAAAACGTCTTGAAACGTTTACAGTTCAAAGTGATTCATCAGGACTACCGTAAATACAGAGCACTACTAGATGTCTAAGGGTGTGTTTTAAATTCCCATTTTTGCCATGTTATTTGTCTTCTGATACAACATTTCATTAATTTTGTGCATTGGAAAAAACTGGCTTTTGATTGGCTATCTGTAAAAACATACAGGAATCTTTATTCTAAAGATGAAATGTGATTCTGAAGGTTCTGATCAGGTCCACTTATAAGTAGATGGGCAGAACTGGGGCAAGGAAAGACAGGAGCATCTGAGTCACCACGACACATATGAAATTTGATCAGAAAGGAAAGTGGAGAGGCAGTTTTTAGCCATATTTGGCATTGCTGAGGGGTCTGAGGAGCCATGTTTTGGATCCTACAGGTCCAAACCCTCAAGCCACTGAAACAATAGAGGAGACCCACCAGTGATGTTTCCCACCTGCAAGGGAGTAGTTTGGGTGTCTGCTTCTCATCATTGGCAGAGAGACAGCGTTACATCTTACCTCTCCCCAGCCAACAACATGGGGGGGGGCGGGTTAGGATTACTACCTTAGACAAAATTTAAAAAGTTGCATCAAAGAAATTGATAGGAATGATTCAGTAAGTGCACAGGGAGAAAGGGAAGTTCCCAGATTTAACTTGAGGCTTTGGAAATAAATAGGCAAGAGGAAGTCGAAAATTCAATACATGTTACCCTTTCAAATAACTTTGCAGTAGCCGTTAGTTCAAATGCTGCTTTACTGTATGCCTGAGTTGCAGTTGTGGAAAATTAACCTTGTTGTTGTTGTTGTTTAGCCGTTTAGTCGTGTCCGACTCTTCGTGACCCCATGGACCAGAGCACGCCAGGCACTTCTGTCTTCCACTGCCTCCCGCAGTTTGGTCAGACTCATGTTTGTAGCTTCGAAGACACTATCCAACCATCTCGTCCTCTGTCGTCCCCTTCTCCTTGTGCCCTCCATCTTTCCCAACATCAGGGTCTTTTCCAGGGAGTCTTCTCTTCTCATGAGGTGGCCAAAGTATTGGAGCCTCAGCTTCAGGATCTGTCCTTTCAGTGAGCACTCAGGGCTGGTTTCCTTAAGAATGGATAGGTTTGATCTTCTTGCAGTCCATGGGACTCTCAAGAGTCTCCTCCAGCACCATAATTCAAAAGCATCAATTCTTCGGCGATCAGCCTTCTTTATGGTCCAGCTCTCACTTCCATACATCACTACTGGGAAAACCATAGCTTTTACTATACGGACCTTTGTTGGCAAGGTGATGTCTCTACTTTTTAAGATGCTGTTGAGGTTGGTCATTGCTTTCCTCCCAAGAAGCAGGCGTCTCTTAATTTGGCTGCTGTCACCATCTGCAGTGATCATGGAGCCCAAGAAAGTAAAATCTCTCACTGCCTCCATTTCTTCCCCTTCTATTTGCCAGGAAGTGCTGGGACCAGTGGCCATGATCTTCGTTTTTTTGATGTTGAGCTTCAGACCATATTTTGCGCTCTCCTCTTTCACCCTCAATAAAAGGTTCTTTAATTCCTCCTCACTTTCTGCCATCAAGGTTGTGTAGTTAACCTAGGTCTGAAATAAAATGACTTGCATTTCCTAAAAACCTCCTTACAAAAAGGAGCCTCTCCTCACAAAAGGAATTCATAGCACAAATGAACGGCTATTTACATTCCTGATACTTTACTAAAGGACCCATCAGTTTTAGGTGTAAGAAAGCTACTTTTCTTCTTTTGTAATGTGATTTTGCCATTGTCTTATAGAGCAAGAGGCTCAAGGAATAACAAGTAGCAATTCTGGTTGTTGTCCATAAGCAAAGCATAAGGCCCCTGTGAAGCATATTGTCTGTCTCACACACTATAATTCAAAGTCCAATTAAAATTTTACAGCCAGCAGGCCAACCTTCATTTGCATGCCTGGCCCATAATTTATAAAGAGCATGCTTTGGAACTCAGTGGTGAATAGAAAAAAGTGCTATGCTGTCCACCTGAAAAGTACTTATGCATAACTTGTACTAGGAGGACACAGAGGATGATATTCTCTGCTTTACTATGAAATTTGGCAGAAAGCTAACACAAAGCATTGATTCGTATATGCTCATTCCTTTGTTGATGCAGTTAAGTGTTTTGCCAGTAGCTTTTAAAAAATGCAAATACAGACACTAAAGCAATATAACTTCAGGCATCTTAGCATGGTATTAGTTGTTACAAACCAGACAGTACAGTGTTCGTGTAACAACTGGTTTTGTTCTTTCTCCTTCCTTTTCATCCTGACAACATGCAATTAGATATTCAGAGTTATGGAAACACTGACTATGGAACTTTATTTGCAACTCAACTTTAGAACATATTTATACCTGCTTTGGTTTTGTGGAATTAATAACTGAACATTTTTAAAATGCCTACCATGTTTGTGCTGTCTTTTTTTTTAAGACTCAGATTATATTACTTTGCTGTATTATTTCAGCATTGTGTTTTTAACCATGTTCAAAATGTGCCAGGGAATGTACAGGTGGCAAACTCCTCATCTGCAGGAAACCTAGACTAAAAGACCCAATAAAGAGTCAGATTCACTTCAGCATAACCATGCTTACGATCAGAGTATTATGATTCCGCCACTTGGCAACAAATAGCTACAGAAGTATTGTCTTTTATCTGAAGAGAAATTTGCTTCCCGCCACCCCATAAGGCACTCCCATGTCCACAACTTTACTAATTGTCCGTTTTGTGGGATAACCTGGTTTTAAAAACTGCTTGCGCGTGCGCACACACACCATAGACTGAACCTGTTCTGCCCCACTGTTTAGTTCTGTTGACTATAGTGCCTTTTACATTAGGATATGGGTACTTATAGGGACGCGGGTGGTGCTGTGGGTTAAACCACAGAGCATAGGACTTGCTGATCAGGTTGGTGGTTCGAATCGCCGCGACAGGGTGAGCTCCCATTGCTCGGTCCCTGCTCCTGCCTGGTTCGCCAGAAGCGGCTTAGTCACGCTGGCCACATGACCCGGAAGCTGTACGCCGGCTCCCTCGGCCAGTAAAGCGAGATGAGCGCCGCAACCCCAGAGTCGGCCACGGCTGGACCTAATGGTCAGGGGTCCCTTTACCTTTTTTATGGGTACTTATAATTGATTTTTTTGGGATTTCTAATCTGCCTTTCACCATCTACTCCCAGTTTGTGTACTAAAATCGCACCTAGTGTGCAGCCTGGTCTTTCTTTTTTTTTGCATGTTTACTTGGAAGTCTGCATGGGGCTTACTCCAAAATGAGCCTGAGATTGCAGTCTCGATTGCTCCAGCTCCATGATATATCACCTTTTAAAATGTAAAGGTGTCACCCGCTTTGCTGACACCTGTGTGGTCCTTTGAGGCTCTGACACCAGTATTCTTCTGTGAGCTTTTGATACTTGTCAAGGCTTGGTGCCATTCAGAAAACCAGAGGTGCGTCGGACCAGATTTAAGTGACACCCGCCGTGTTCTCTTAAAAAAGAGTATCTGAAGAAGTGTGCATGCACACGAAAGCTCACACCAATAACAAACTTAGTTGGTCTCTAAGGAGCGACTGGAAGGATTTTTTTTATTTTGTTTCTTAAAAGAGATGAGCTCTTCTGGAACTAAGGAGGTGCCCTTGACAATGAGGGCTGTTTGCCAACCCTTGAAGCGCTTTTGCAAGAACGCGCGCCTATCAACGCTCGCTATCTCCGACGGATATTAGCTCATGCAGCCGGCCTGGGCCGAAACTTTGGCGGCGAGGTGCCCAGGAGCCAAACGGCGCTTGGGGAGGAGCACTAACTTATCTCCGCAGGAAGAAGCGCGGCCTCGTCTTTCCCGGCTCACCTGTTGCAAGGCGGGAGCGAGAGGGCGCAGTCCCCGCGCGCGCGCGAGCGAGCCAAGTTCCTGAGGGGAAAGGGAGGCGAGCCAGAAGCTCCCGCCCAGCTTCAAGGCAGGTGGCGGCTCAGGGAAGCTGCCCAGTCGCGGCCACTCGGGGGAAGGGAGGAGGAGGGAGGAAGGCCCGGCTAGTTGGCTGGCTGGCTGGCTGGGCGGGAGGCGGCGCTGCCTCCGCGGAAGCGCGTCCGAGAGGAGAGCCGGACTCAGTGCGCCGCCGGCCAGGCTGCGGCGCGCAGCGACCACGGGACTTGTCCGCCGCCGAGCTCCGGCCGGGCGGGTCTCCATGCGGTGGCGGCAGGGACGCCCGGGCCCCCCTGCTGCTGCTGCTGCTGCACGGAGGGCGCGCCACGGGAACTAGCAGCATGAGCAGCGGCTACAGCAGCTGGGAAGAGTCCGAGTCGGAGGAGTTCTTCTTCACCGCCCGCACCTCCTTCTTCAGGAGCTGCCCCGCCAAAGCCAAGCCGAGTCTGCAAGTAAGCGAGCCCCCCCTCCTTTCGCCGGGCGGGAATCCTCCCCGTCCCGAGCAAGAGCGCCTTTGCCCTGGCCTGACCCGCAGCAGGCCGCGCCTTCCGCTGCAACCCCACGTGTTCTTCCCAGGCTCGCTCTCTGTCCCCGCGCCCCACGCCAAACTAAGTCCTAAGTTTCTGGGGAGCCCCTCGTGGCGCTTTCCCGGTTCCGTCCCCAAGTCCCAGCGGGATCTGGAGGGTGCCGGGTGCCACTTCCGGATGATCGCAGAGGGAGCAGAGTCCAGGCAAGCAGAAGCATTGGGGTGGGGGGCTGGATCCCCAAGGTTTCTCTTCGCACCCCCGCGCCAGACTTTCGGTGGAACTGCACGTGTGGATTCCAGCCGTTGGGCTAGCTCGAGCAGCGTTGCTGCGACCTTTGAGGATGAAAAGCGGGCTTTTTCAGTAGATTCACTTCCTCGTGAGCCAGAACTTCTCCCGGCGGAAAAAATGATCTCCCATGATGCGACCGGGGAAAAGAGAAGTCTGATTGCTCATGCGTTATTCCTGAAACCGCATGGTCTTGCAGCCGCCGCTCTCGTGCAAACCGTTGTAGGATTTCTGGGAAAGCGCATAAATAGGAAAAAAAACCTATAGTTCCCTGGGAGGTAACGGATTTTTTGCCTCGTCTTCTCAGCCCAACCCGGCAATCATAATCATTTGAATTGTTTTTAACACACTAACGGAGCCTTAATTGGGATATAATCTTCCCTTCATAATGATGTGGAGGTTGTCTGTGTCTGCTCCTAAGTGGTTTTCAATATCCAGGGATTTTGAATAGTTAGAAAGTACTGTACAAATAGTTTTTTAAATTGCTGCACTTTATTTCTGTAACACCATATGCACCTGACCCAGGTAGTTGTATTTAAATGGGAATTGACATGCAAAAGGCCTTCAACTAACCAAAGCATTTAAAAGACTTTTACCCCAAACTCCATGCATGGAGTGTTTTACAAATATGATGCTAGCACACTATTCTAAACGTGTTGGAAAAATAGTACATTTTTAAAAACACACATCCAGTTGTGTGGATCACCTGCATGAGCAAGTGCTTCTCATAAGGCAGTTTTGCATTTAATTTTGGACACCATAAACTCTAGGGTTCTTTTTAGGGTCATCATGTGCAGGTTATTTTTTTCTCCTTCTCAAAATAATTTCAAGAATGCATGTCATGATTTAAAATGCAGTGGCGACAATGTGGTATTCTAGATGCTTTGATATTCTGTTAATCCTGTAGACATTAATATTTTGCTATTAATTTCTTAAAGCAGTTAAACTAAGCTGAGTTGGCTGTGATCTTGTTAGAATTGCAGGGTTGCCATCTGACTCTCAGGGTGCCAGAGCTTTTGCATAGTGGAATGATAATGGAATAAGGTTCTTCCAAACTTTGTGTTAAAGTTTTGAAACAGCAGTTTCAGAGAGGATCAGGGTGACAGCAGCGGTTAAGAATTCAGCTAGTATTAATTCCTGGACTTTATACATCCTAAGGTAAGGATAACCTTGTCATTTCAATATGTAGATTGGCTTTGGCTATTCCCAAGTGGTTTTCAATATTTAGAGACTCTTAATAGTTGCTAGGAGATGGCTGCAGGCAACATGTTGCAGCAGTCCTTAATGATGTCAACAGGGCAGTGTTCAGCCTCCACTCCTGGCACTGATTCAGAAACACAGTCAGTGATTAAAAAGTGGGCAGGAATAGGCAGATAAGGAGTATGAGCAACACACTGCATTTAAGTTGTATGTGTCCTGAGTGTACATAGTGTTCTATAGAGTAACATAAGCAAGAGTGGTCCATCCTCCGAAGCAGCTCACATTCTGAATTTACCCTAGGACAGAAAGAAAGTTAGGAGGTTGATAGGAAGAAGCAAGGGTAACAAAGCAATGCAGTGTAGAAAAAGCAAAGAGGAAGAATAGCTGAGGGTGAATGCTAGCAATTGCAAATATGGGGTTCATTTCTGCTGGGGATGAGGACTAAAGAATTACGGCAAAGGTTTTGAAGACAAGAGCAGGCTGTGAGCTGTGATTTGGAAGACAAAAGTAGCACCAAGCAGATTTGCTTGGAGGAAGCTCCAGGCATAAGACAAACTTTGGGCTGCAATGGGTAGAATCACCGAAGAGGACAACAGGTGTTGTTGAGGGTGCCCAAGTTGGAGGAAAGAAAGATCAGGGGCAGAGACACAGCGGAAGAACAAGGAGTCTATGGGTGTGTAAGCTTTGTGAACTAGCAACACAGAATTCTGGTGAAACAAATAGAAATATGAGAGGGACAAAGTGGATTTTACCGAAGATTATTTCTCTTTTTAAGAATTGTGGACTAAGCTGATCTTTTCCTATTCCTTTAAACTTGGCATTTGATGCATCTGTGGGAGAGAGTTGTGTGTCAATCGCTGGAACTCCCACTTTGACTAAAACATGTTGATACTCCACTAGTCATGCAGAGAAAGTACAGTGGCCTTTAGTTTTGTGTGGTTCGTTATAAAATCTTCAAAGCTGAGGATTTTGGTTTCTGTATATTATACTTCTCAGGTTAGAAGCCTTTCTTGAGTGTCTAATTTGGCAGAAAAAGTAAAAACAATAACAAGAATAAACTTACAGAAGACCACATAAAACAATGTGAAATACTAGGAACAGAAAATACTGTACTATAAAACAGATTAAACCCATATGTAGCATGTAGAATCTAAAAGACCTAGGCCACCAAAATGACAGTGAGCTTTTCAGAGTGAGCTATGCTGATACTCTATACTTTCTTTGGTGCCTGACCTGAGTGATAAAGAGATTAGTGTCCTATCTTTAGTGTGGTACCATATTGGAAGTGCTCTGAGCTCTTGCAAAACTGGTTTATAAATATCTATTAAGCCCTACGGTTAGTATTTGGCACAGATTGTTCATGTGGTCAGGAACTGGGGTCTAATAAACTGATTAACTTAGAATTCATGAGCATAATAAAGGTAAAGGAACCCCTGACCATTAGGTCCAGTCGTGGCTGACTCTGGGGTTGCGGCGCTCGTCTCGCTTTATTGGCTGAGGGAGCCGGTGTACAGCTTCCGGGTCATGTGGCCAGCATGACTAAGCTGCTTCTGGCGAACCAGAGCAGTGCACGGAAACGCCGTTTATCTTCCTGCTGAGTGGTACCTATTTATCTACTTGCACTTTGACGTGCTTTTCAAACTGCTAGGTTGGCAGGAGCTGGGACTGAGCAACGGGAGCTCACCCCATCGCAGGGATTCGAACTGCCTACCTTCTGATCGGCAAGTCCTAGGCTCTGTGGTTTAGACCACAGAGCCACCCACATCCCTCATGAGCATAATACTTCTCCTTAAATATGTTGAGACCAGTGGAACCGTCTGCTTCCTCATTACTTTTATAACCCCTCTTTTTTGTTTTGGGAAGTTTTTAAATGTTTAATGCTGTATTGTGTTTTTAATATTCAGTTGGGGGCCGCCCAGAGTGGCTGGGGAAACCCAGCCAGATGGGCAGGGTATAAATAATAAATTATTATTATTATTATTATTATTATTAGGTTAGGCCTAAGTGACAGTAACTGGTCACCAAGTTCACCCAGTCGCTTCATGGCTGGGTGGGGTTTTGAAACCTGGCTTTCCAGGTCCTGGCCCAACATTTTAACCTCTAAACCACACTATTTCCTAACACTGATTCTAGAACAAATATTTGAGCGTTGCTGCATTTCTGAAATAATGCTGCAGGGTACTAGGAAACCTGTTACCTTGCATTTGAGGTTCAGTTCCTGAAAATCTGGAGTGGAGTTTTTTGTCAACATTAAAGTTTTTTCTATTGATTTCCTCATTTAGAAAGCTGATGAGTTTCCTGGTAAAGGTCAGTACTATGGTTGGAATTGCTTGTATATTGCCTCTCCTTCCTGTTATAGTCTCTGTTTCAGTTAGCTACTTTTGCTTTCATAGAAATCATAGGTCGTCTCGCATACAAATCAAGAAGCTGTGAATTGTGCATCCCCTCAAAACCACAGTTTGATTTCAGCTTGGAGGGGATTGTGGAAACCACAACCTGTGGGTTTGGGTGTAATGGCAAAGGGCTTTCCATGGTTTTTTTTTTTTTTTAAGTGTGTGCAAGGGGAGAAAGAAAGCAGAAATGTGTAAAGTGTGGAAGTCTGATTGATCCAGGGCTGAACTCTGGATTGGCACTTGTGTATTTGTGAAGCAACCCAAAGTATGTCATCTATGCCCTCATTAGATTTGAAAGCTGCTTACAAAAGCACACACCTTTGCATTGGTTTGGTAACTAGCGTTTATAATTAAAGACTTGGTTTGTTCTCACCCGATCAGGTGTATGGCTACTTGATCCATACCTAGTGAGCCAGTCACATAATAGGTCATGTTCAACACACCAGTGCAAAATCTGTTGAAGGGGGATTGGCAGGGGGCATCTAGGGTGAACAGTGGCAGCAGCGCACATTGAATCATTCTGAGCATGTTGCCAAGTGAAAAGACATTTGAGTCAAAATCGGCTCTTAGCTCCTCGCCTACCCAGGCCAGCAGCAGCAAACTTAAGTTGTGGATTGTTAGTTTCATGAAAAAAATAATCGCCTTGTTTTGAGTACATACAGTGAATTGTTTTTGTATTGCTTAAGGTACACAGAAGGCAGGGAGTTGTAGGGGCTCATTTGTTCATAGTAAATAAGCAAGCATGCCTCGCTCCTGCAGTTTGCGTGCCTGCATTTTCCCTTTGGAGAAGGGGAGGGGCACATGGGCAATGAGGTCAAAGGAAGCAGCAAATATAAGTCTCTCCACCCATCTGCTAGCACTTTAGTTGTACTTGCAGAGTTGGCACTGCATATGGTTGGCATGTTTCCTTCTGTTTTATTTCCTGAGGCATCTCCCTCTTTCCTTCTCTCCGTCTTCTGAAGTTAAAACAAAGATAATTCTCAATTTAAGGCAGCTTGAGACTGGTTTATTTTTTCAGATTTGACCAAAAAAAAAAAGAGGCTATCTATGTCTTGAGTGTAGGAATGCCGTCATAATGGCTACGCTCCCATTTCACATGGATTTGGGCTTTCAGCATTTCAACATGCTATCCTTATATACTGCGTAGGTTCACATTTAATAATATGGTATCCCACAATTGAAGTAACCCAGTGTGCTTGTCCAAGTTATGGGTGTTTTTACTAATTGAAATTGTATCTTTGTCCAAGAATTGTGTCAGATTTCCTGGTATGGACATTTAGTGCGGTATTGCATTGCGTGTAGCCCTTTGGGGAGTTGGTTGCTGTGATGGCCTGGGACTCGGGCTCGGACTCGGACTCAGCACCGGTTCCTTTGCCTCAGGCGGCATCTGAACGGAGTCTGGGGCCTGATTCTGAAGAGCCCCAGTCTGCACAGGTTCCCCTGCAACAAGCACCAGCTGAGCCGAGTCAGGGGCCTGAGCCTGCCCTGGCTCCAGTTGCGGGGATTACCTCGTTTCCCTCTGCTGGGCAATCACGTGCAGCTGCTCCACTACCAGTTGGGTCAGGAGAGGCTGAGGCGGCCTCTGGGTCTAGTAACCCACCAACGTCTCCCGAGCTGCAGAGACTCAGGTCTGAGAGAAGGAGAGACCTGAGTACTCGCAGGAGGAGTGCCCGCCTTTCAGCGAGACAGGGAGGTGAGTCACCGGGGGATCAGGACTGGCCGTTACCCTGTCAGAGATAAAAGGCTGCCGGACCCCACCCCAGGTTGCGGGAGCAACATTGCTGCTTGCTGGAACCTGCCTGTTACCCTGTGCCTGACCTAGCCTGGTTTCCTGCCTTGGCCCTGTTGGACTGACTCCTTGTGGAATCCTTGGATTTGGGACCGGACCTGGACTGTGTTGCTTGGGTTAACCCTCGGGCCCAGCACAGTTACGGTGCAAAAGCTTAAATATTTAAGCATAGCATCTTGGCCAGGGGTAGACAACCTAAGGCCCATGGGCTACACCTATGGGGTTTTTAACTCCTTAGCTCCATTTGAATCCGGGTTTCAGATAAGATCACGAAAGTTTTGGTATCCCAGTGGAGCTCATTGCATTGCATATGAATAGGCAGTTACACCAGGCACCTCTACTGGCAAGGCAGCATGCCTCTAAATACCAAGTTGCTGGGAATCATGTGTTCTGTTTGTGGGCATCTGGTTGGCCATGGTGAGAACAGGTTCCTGGACTAGAATAGGCCTTTGGCCTATAAGATCCAGCGGAGATCTTATGTTCTTAACACCTTGATTTGTTCAGACAATTAAAATGCAATGCCGGTGTCTTTAAAAAGCTGCTTATCAGAGATTTTGGAATTCAGGCATCTGAAGAAATAATTTAAGGTTTCTGTTCCATGTGCAGTTGTTGACTTGGAATGGCAGATCGCTGTACCATATCACAAAACTGCTGTTGAGAATGTCTGAGTTTGCAACACTGCCTGGGGCTCATTTGTATTGAGAAACAAAAGTTCCGATTTCAAAAGGAAGTCATAGAAGGGAAAGTGAAGTTGCTGAAAGGTGCATATAATATTCTGCTAGAAAGGGAAACAAAAGATGAGGAGGTGAAATCGGTCATGATTAAATGGGCACAAGATATAGGTCATAACATACTATTTGAAGATTGGGAAAAATTGTGGAAAACAGATCTAAAATTTACAGATTGCTCTCTTTTGAAAGAAAATTATATGAAAATGATGTATAGATGGTATATAACATGAGTACAGATTGCAAGAATGTATAAAACTGGGTCAAATGTATGCTGGAAATGCAAAGAAAAAGAAGGGACGTTTTATCATATGTGGTGGGAATGTAGAGAAATTAAAGCATTCTGGGAAATAATATATACTGAGTTGAAGAAAATGTTTAAACTAACATTTGTAAAAAAACCCAGAAGCATTCTTGTTAGGGATTGTAGGAAAATACCTGCCAAGGAAATTAAAGAACTTATTTATGTATGCGACAATGGCAGCAAGAGTCTTGATAGGATAAGGACAACTATGGCTTTAGAGAAGAATGGGAACTTCTTACAAATTACTTAAAAACAACAATAAAATGACTTGGACTCCTTGGCAGGTTTTGAATAAACATACACAAATTTATTATTGTTAACATAATAGATAGACAATTTAAGGATTTTTACAATTTTATAATATGCAGAGAATAATATGTGTTGAAAAACCGGAGAGAGGAGCTGAGGGAAGTCTGGGGTGGGGGGTGGGAAAAAATGGGGGGGGGGGGAATGAAGATGATATGTTTTTGATAATTTATGGTGTTTAAATTCTTAATAAAAACTATTTAAAAAGAGAGAGAGAGAAACAAAAGCTCCAACATTGTATACATGCAGAACTAGTTGTGTGACAGTTGTAGATCTTGACTTGGCCTGTGGGAGTAGTAGTAATAATTTCCTTTTTTTAAGTGGAATTATACAAATAATACATTTTAGAGCTGCTCTATGTTATCAGTCAGTTTTAAATGGTTATGCTTGTAGTGCAGGGGGTGGTTCTGTTCCTAAAATTTTGTGTGTGTGTGTGTGTGTGTGTGTGTGTACACCCTGAGTTCAGCAGTTCACAATTTTTGTCTACAGAAAAACACTGCAGTATCATTTCGGGGTGGATAAAGCATACCATATTAAAATAAAATAAAAACAGAGAACAGGATCCTGGACTAGAATAGGCCTTTGGCCTATAAGATCCAGCAGAGATCTTATGTTCTTAACACCTTGATTTGTTCTGACAATTAAAATACAATTCCAGTGTCTTTAAAAAGCTATTGCTGTGGAAATTTCTGCTTCAAACTCCTGTTTCATTTTTCAAAGTAATGTCTCTAATTCGTGTATTGGAAGAACAGGATCTAAAATAGGATGGCACTTGCCATTATTTGTAATTAAGGATTATGGACAATACTCTTACTTGAAGCCAAATAGAGAAGGCAAGTTCATTTTCGAAATAAGAAATGAGTGACTCACATTGGATTAAAGCTGCATAGAAAGAGGTTCCTTTTTAAAAATATATATATATATATATAAATGACTACAATAGTCATAGTTGGCAAAGTGGCACCTTTTCAGTATATGAAGCTAAGTAAATTTTAGGGACAGACTCTTCATCAGGATTTGGACTGGGATTTTGTCAAGTTGCTGTTGATCAACATGATGATGATGATGATGATTATTATTATTATTCATTAGCAAGGTTTTTTTAAAAGTATTTTTTTCTAAAATATAGAATGAACTCTAGACTGCTGGGAAAGTTTTCAGGAGAATAACTTTGTATGCTTGATGTTGGTATAAGTGCTAAAATTACTATCACTAGTGCTTCTACATATTTCCACTCTGAGATATCCACAGTACCGTAATTGTTTTAAGCTTGGCAGAATGCTGTTTACATTCCATTTGATCTTGCAGCACTTTTTCTATGTTTTGATTAAAAATGCATTTTTTTCTCTATACACAATCCCTTTTCTGATTGTATATCTGCTCTTTTAAAGTTGTAATCCCTGGTGTGTATTAGAACCTAATAGTACAACTAAATCTGAAGATGTTTTACTGCTCAGAAATAATGTTATCAATGGGATTGCTTCATTATCAATAGGCAAGTGCAGGGTTCAAAACGCCCATTGTTCTAATCTTGGCACATTTTGCGATAGGGAATTTCATTAGAGCTAGTGGTTTCTGAGCTCTGGGCGTAGTACTGCGCCTAAGATTTCAGTTTAAAACTGCAGAGTGGAAGTTGTCAGGGTCGATCCTGGTGTGCAGGCATCTTTACTTGGTCACAAGTGGTTGATAGCCAGGTGCAAAATGCGCCTGGCGCTTGACTAATTTCAAACACTGGCATCCTCATTGGTCCAAGATGCTTGAAATGGTAGCCTGACACATCTGGAGAGTGGAAGGTTAGTTTAGGGGGTGTTGGTGATGAGACAGAAGGATGACATTGTGTTTGGTAATAGTATAAAACAGGCATAGGCAAACTCGGCCCTCCAGATGTTTTGGGATTACAACTCCCATCATTCCTAGCTAACAGGACCAGTGGTCAGGGATGATGGGAGTTGTAGTCCCAAAACATCTGGAGGGCCGAGTTTGCCTATGCCTGGTATAGAACAATCTTCTTGTGTTACCACTGAAGGAGTGAATGTGAACTTCTACATTGGTCCCTCCCCCGAGATGGATAAACTGAATGTGGAAATTAATCAATAGTCCTTGGAGGTATAAAAAAAGTTGTGTGTAATGTTTTCTGGGTGCTTCTGTCCCAAGACCTTAAAATTCCAACAGCATACTTTTTATTCTGATTTCTCAGTAGATTATACAGTGGTACCTCAGGTTAAGTACTTAATTCATTCTGGAGGTCCGTACTTAACCTGAAACTGTTCTTAACCTGAAGCACCACTTTAGCTAATGGGGCCTCCTGCTGCTGCCGCACTGCCGGAGCACAATTTCTGTTCTCATCCTGAAGCAAAGTTCTTAACCTGAAGCACTATTTCTAGGTTAGCAGAGTGTGTAACCTGAAGCATATGTTACCTGAAGCATATGTAACCCGAGGTACCACTGTATTTTTGAAATCACATTATGATTTTGAGGTGCTGTTGAATAATATGAAGTGAGCACACAAGGCTGGATGAATGGAATTCTCAGCTGATGAGCTAAGAATGGTCACACACTTCCTGACATGCTCGGAATTGTTTGCTAAAAATGGAACACTCTCAAGGTACAGAGTCAAGATCCATGGCCGGTAGAGAGAAAATGTTAATGCTGTGTTGGAATTAACCACAATTATCAGATTGAACTTCCTAGTGCAAAAGTTTTCACTAGTGGCAATGTATGCAATGGAATGCTAGATCAGATGGAACAGAACTATCTCACCTGGGGCTCAGCCAGGTGAGCTAAGACAAGGCTAAGTCCCCAGGCAGGGACCAGAGGGAGGAACTTAGGCTGGATGCTAAGGCTAAGCCTAAGCCTAAGTCATGTGTCCTGATGATCTGGCATATAACACTACAGTAGTACCTCTGGTTGCAGACAGGATCCGTTCTGGAGCTCTAGTCGGATCCTGAGGTTTTCGCAACCAGAGGTGCCTGTTCTGCGCATGTGCGCAGCACGGTAGAGCGGTTCTGCGCATGCGCACAGTGCAGTAGAGCGGTTCTGCACATGCGCGCGTGGCGAAACCTGTAAAAATACTGCCGGGTTTGCCGCGTGTGTATCCCGAAGATTCTGTAACCAGAGGTGCGCATAAGTAGAGGTACCATTGTATTTTAAAAGCTAATTTTCTCCCTGCCAGGCTTAGGCAGAGCAGCAGGTTAGGATCTGGCGTAACTTTGCACCAGCTTTTTGTGCATAGGATTGCTACCTAAGTTGCTCACATCTAATTTGAAATTCTTTCTAAAAGAGCAGTAGCACCTATGATTTAGAAAAAAAATAGTGAGAAGACACAAAGCAAAGATAATGACGGAAAGAAATTAAAAACTAATATTTAAAACTCCACTGTTCTTTAAACCAGTATATCTGGATATATTGTTGAGAACTGATTATTTTGATTGGTGGAAAGAATATTCTTGTTTAATCAAATCTTGATAAATGGTTATTGGGTGCTTGTTGTTGTTTTTTTTAAAAAAGACTTCTTTTATTATTCCACTCAAGGCAGAATAGTGTTGTGCTATTGTGAGCTTTATGGCATTTTTACCTTGAAATCTTAAAAATTGTCTTAAAGGATGGGTGGAGCAGCAAATGTCCCTGTGACTGTGATTTCCTGAGCTTACAAACAGGGAAGCTGCTGTTCAAAAAGGAAGAAAGTGTTTGAACCTTGAATTACAAAGTCAACGCACATTATTCCCTGCACTCTTAAGAACAAAGCCACTCTCCCTGTGCTTCCTGATGGCCTCTTTCCGGAGCTAGTAGAATAACTTGTTTATTTACAATCTGATCCAGTGGCTTGTGTCCAAAAAGCAATGTGTGTGCACGCGCAAGTGTGGTTTTGTTTTTCTTCCAGTGTAGTTCAAAGAGCATCCTTTTTCGTTCAAGGTGAGTTAAATGCATCCAATTGCTGCTTATTTGGCAATACAGGTTTCATTCCTGCTGGTGCCTGTAAATACTATTTAAAGCTGATATTTTACCCCCCACAATTTATTTAAAAGTATTTCTAATCCTCCCTGCATTGCAGAGGGACCCCAAGGTTGGCAGCAAGGTGGGGGCTAAGTAATGCAGCCCTTGGGTGGGGGGTGACCCAGACACCACATGGTTGGTACCAGAGCAGATACAGGGAGAAGATTACTGGAAATCAGAATCCCAGGTAAATGAGGCAGGAATTACACACAGCGATTTCAGCTCAGGATTGGTGCATTGTTCTCACTGTGCACGATGACTTGAGCAGAGGTAACGTTTTTCAGCCCCTTTTGTATTTTCCAAAATACAGTGGTACCTCAGGTTAAGTACTTAATTCGTTCCAGAGGTCAGTTCTTAACCTGAAACTGTTCTTAACCTGAAGCACCACTTTAGCTAATGGGGCTTCCTGCTGCTGCTGCGCCGCCGGAGCATGTTTTCTGTTCTCATCCTGAAGCAAAGTTCTTAACCAGAGGTACTATTTCTGGGTTAGCAGAGTCTGTAACCTGAAGCATATGTAACCTGAAGCGTATGTAATACAGGTACCACTGTATTTTCTGTTTTAGCTTGTACAGTGGTACCTCTGGTTCCATATGCTTCAGGTTCCATACGCTTCAGGTTACAGACTCTGCTAACCCAGAAATAGTACCTCTGGTTAAGAACTTTGCTTCAGGATGAGAACAGAAATTGCGCGGCTGCAACCGGAGGCCCCATTAGCTAAAGTGGTGCTTCAGATTAAGAACAGTTTCAGGTTAAGAACGGACCTCCGGAATGAATTTAAGTATGTAACCAGAGGTACCACTGTAGAATACAATTTAGAGCACGTTGACATAGTCATAGTTGCATAACAACTATGCAGAGAAGAAAAGCTTGTATCAGGATCTGTGCATGATCACAGGGATTGTTTCAGATGAGCACTGTTGTTTTCAGGGTGGTAGTCTGAGGAAACATGGGACTCTCAAGAGGGGAAGTTGATGATCTTGCTTAGAGATGCACCATGTATGGTTTTGTAAGCAACAGGTGAGTGTGCAGGGCTGGGCGATACCTGGTTTTCAGTGTTGCGATATATCTCCAGCTTAAACATCTTGATATGCCGATATATCACGATGTCTGAAATAAGGGTGGAGCTATGCGGAGGCATTGGCCGGCTTCACGGTTTTCCCTGCATTGTGATTTTTTTCATAGCGCATGAACACCCACCCATGATTTGCAATATATGGCCAGGTCAAAAACTATGAAACCGATATCACGATATGGACTTCAAGCAATATACTGTATCAATATATCACCCAGCCCTATTAGTGTGCTATGGAAGTGTTAGTAGGGTGTCTCATTGAATAACATAGAAGAACATCTGGCCCTGCTGCAGTCAGACCGGCTCCCCTCTCCTCCTGTGGTGGGAAGGAAAGATGTTGGCTATTCTGTTTTGCGAGCATTTGGCTCCTGGTTTATCTTCTGTACTTCATAAATGTTAGCTGCTTTGAGGACTCTGGTAAAAAAGCAGGATGTGAATGTACTAAGTCAGTAAACATCCTTGTGAAAGTCTCAAGTGTTGGGCTGCACCTCAGCCAATGTGGTTTAGTGGATGGGGGATTCATTGCTTCGTTTGCGGGGGGCAGGTCTCTCTCAGACACCGCTATCTTAAAATGTCTGCTACCCTGAATCTTAGTAAAATGTGATGAAAACAGTTTCAGAGTTCTAGTCCAGGTTCATTCTCTCTCTCTCTCCCAGTAACAAAATACCAACTGGTAAATTATTTCTTTACATACCAAGTTCCAAGTTTCCTAATCCTTTTTCCAAAATGACACAAGGTCACATGGGCCTGTATGAAAAGTATATTTCATCAAAACAAAACCCTTTATTCCATTGTAAATGGATGGGTAACCTGCTGTGCCTTTTGCTGTAAATCAAGTGCCAGGAATCTAAATGCTATTCTTGCAGCTTCAAACTTTAAACAACCTACTCTGTTTAGAACTGGGTTGTGTGCCAGCAGTTAAAGCACAACCATATAGGGTATGGCAGAACTTGTGGTTTTGGAGCGAGAGCATGATAAACGTGATCAGTTACTTTAGTATCACAAGTACATATAAGTCTCTCGTATTCATACTCTCTCACATACACAGGCACACACAAATAAATTGTGTTATATTTTTGGCTCTTTTTATGGTTCGGTTTTCTGCAGTAGCAGAAACTTGCAAGCTAGTTTGCACAAAAGAAGGTGCAATAGCAGCCGACTGGCCTTCCCACAGGGTCACAAAAGTAGCTTGCACATAAACAGGTTTTGATAACTGGTGTGTGTGTGTGTGCGTGCGTGGGTGCCGCCGGAGCATGATTTCTGTTCTTATCCTGAAGCAAAGTTCTTAACCTGAAGCACTATTTCTGCGTTAGCAGAGTCTGTAACCTGAAGCGTATGTAACCCGAAGCGTATGTAACCTGAGGTACCACTGTATGTCACGCCCTTATTCGTCAATTGCTAGATAAGCAGAGCTTTTGGTATTCTCAGTATTTCATGTCCCTAATGCTTCTGGGGGGGGGGGGCACAGGTGGCACTGTGGGTTAAACCACAGAGCCTAGGACATGCCGATCAGAAGGTCGGTGGTTTGAATCCCCGCAACGGGGTGAGCTCCCGTTGTTCGATTCCTGCTCCTGCCAACCTAGCAGTTCGAAAGCACGTCAAAGTGCAAGTAGATAAATAGGTACCACTCCGGCGGGAAGGTAAACAACGTTTCCGTGCGCTGCTCTGGTTCGCCAGAAGCAGCTTAGTCATGCTTACCCATGCTGGCCACATGACCCGGAAGCTGTACTCCAGCTCCCTCAGCCAATAAAGCGAGACGAGCACCGCAATCCCAAGCGTCTGTCACGACTGGACCTAATGGTCAAGGGTCCCTTTACATTTTAATGCTTTTTAGATCAACCTGCTCAGTTGGTTAGAGCATGCCAAGGTTGCAGCTTTGATCCCTCTATAGGACAGCTGCATGTTCCTGCATTGCTGGGGCTTGGACTAGATGACCCTCCACAACTCTATGATTCTTTGATAGGGTCTTGATACACACCCAGCAGCTTAAGTGGAAGCTTTCTGTTTGGGGGAGTAAAGGCCTAGTAACCATTCCTGGGTATCTTCTGAGTATTTTGATCCTGTGTTAGATACGCCTGACGAAACGACTTTCAAGTGAAGGCAATTAAATAGACGTTTCAGTTCACGAAAGTTGAGAGCTGCAATAATTTCAGGCTATATATGGTGTGTTCGTGCAAATAATGGAAGTGTATTAATAGCACCAATTTTCCATATGGGTTGAGAGCAAATGTCCTTTGAAAGATATCCTGCGCTTAAGGAACATATTTGTATTGGACTGTAAAAATCAATATGCCACTTGGAGAAAGCTGTTTTGGGATAATAACTTATTTTTTTTACAACAAGGTTAAAACTAACCAATGGAAATCTAGTAAGGCCTAAGCTTCTCTCCCCATTAAATAGTAGCTCTTCACATTGCTTTTGGGTTATTTGTTGGCCATGGTCAAATTGGGGTGAGGAAAATATACCCTTCCTCGTTTAAGGATTAATCTTCATTTCAAGAATGGTTCAGTTGGGGTGCTTGTCTGTTAAAGGTCCCCCCCCCCGTCAATTCCTTGAGAATCATTTTTTTTAACGTCTTCAGTTTGTGTCCAAGGAACTTAGGGGCATTTTACTCTCACGCCAAGTTTGAGCAGGTTTGCTCACCCTGTGAGCTTTGTAGCTAAACGGGGATTAGAACTGGGCATTAGGAATTCTGTCTCTTCTTCTCCCTGCCCCCCAATTTCCAGATACTTCTGTACCACATTAGCCCTCTGCCTAACAGCTGTCACCCAACATTAAATGATTCAAAGTAAATCAGTCGCTACATGCTCAAACTCTGCATGGCTTCAGAGAGACGTATCATGAAATAAGATACACCAGCAATATTTTTTTTTTTTGCATGCAAATAGTGGACAAGTGAACACAATTGGATTTGGGCATGCTTTGTTTCAAAGTGGTTCTCTTAAGTGCACTACTTTTGCTGGTGCTTTGTATTCTGCAATGTGAATATTGCAGTACATTGATTTCAGATTTCTTTGGATGAGACAGAAGAGTCTTCCCTTACCATTTCTGCATCTTGTCCAAAGCCCATAAATTCATTTTCTAGTCTGGTAGGGAGTCAGACAACATGGGAACATGATGATTAGATATGTGAGTGACTTGTTATTCCACTTTCTGGGTAGGAAGCCATTTGGTGTCCATGGGCTTGTGATTCATTTGGATGCTTCCTTTTAACCAACTAGCAAAGGAGGCATATTTTGCTGATTTCTCTCTGCAGGAAATCCCAGAAGCTGATTTTCAGAGATGCTAGGGAATTCAGGGGAGTGAAGGAATCTGCAGAACGCCTGCTACATGGTCCTTTTGTGAGCATAAGGGCATCAATCCGATTCCGCTTGCTGCCTGCTCCTAAGCCATTCATTGAAAGCTAAAGGTTGATTCCACTATATACATTGGTAGTGTGTGTGTGGAATATGACAGTCGCACACCAGACCTTCAAAGCGCTACTATACCACTTTAAGAGCTACGGACAATTTTGGGAACTGTAGTCTACTGATCTCTTAGAGCTACAAATTCCAGCACCCATCAGAAACTACCACTACCAACAATTCTCTATGGCTCTTACAATGACACGATACAGTGGTACCTTGGGTTAAGAACTTAATTTGTTCTGGAGATCCGTTATTAACCTGAAACTGTTCTTAACCTGAAGCACCACTTTAACTAGTGGGGCTTCCTGCTGCCGCCGCGCCACCGGAGCACGATTTCTGTTCACATCCTGAAGCAAAGTTCTTAACCTGAAGCACTATTTCTGGGTTAGCGGTGTCTGTAACCTGAAGCGTATGTAACCCGAGGTACCACTGTAGTGCTTTAAATGCATGGTGGATATGTGACCTAATTTGGAACACATACATTTACATTAAAACTTTTGTACATCAGCTCTCGTTTTTAAAACCTCTTGTTCAGTAACTAGAAATGCTCAGTAAATATTAAGTAGTAGTATACAGTGGTACCTCAGGTTACTAACACCTCATGTTACTTCGGGTAGCAGACCACTAACCCAGAAGTAGTACCTCGGGTTAAGAACTTTACCTCAGGATAAGAACAGAAATCACATGCCAGTGGTGTGCCGGCAGTGGGAGGCCCCATTAGCTAAAGTGGTATCTCAGGTTAAGAACAGTTTCAGGTTAAGAACGGACCTCTGGAACGAGTTAAGTATGTAACCAGAGGTACCACTGTATATATTTTTGGTATCTTTAAAACTGTCAAATCTCTTTTGCTTTAGGATGTTCAGAAAGAGCGAGAAGCTCACACGTATCTTACCAAAGAAGCAATCAAGGAAAAAGTCCAGACATACAATTCAGATGTCACTGACAAGCTAAAGATGACATTGGTAAGACTGTGTGTAAAGTTTTTTAAAGTTTTGGTAGTTTAAAGGGGTGCATGGCGGCAACATAAAATCACCACTGTATGCTTTGAGTATATGGGCTTGGACAAAATTTATGTATTATCATATTCATTGTTTTCACATTCTGTGTATTTGTACTTAAAATATTCCTAAACACTATATAGCAGAATGGTGCTACCTTATTGGTTGGCAGTCAAAGAGAGGAAAATGAAAACAAGCAAATTCAGCAGATGCCTTAGTTTAACCCAGCAGTGTCATGGGACTACCTTTGAAGGATCTTCAAAAGTTACAGTTGATTTAGTATGCAGGAGCAAGGATGCTCATGTGACACCTGTCCTGCAAGAGCTGCACATTGCCAGTTTGTTTCTGGGCACAAGTTGATGTTTTGAAAATTAACCCTTTAAAGCCCTACAACAGGGGCAGAGAATAGGATCTGGCTGGCAGGCCAAATCCTGAGCTCTCCCCTACCCTTCTCAGGGTCATTTTGACAGGCCCTAACAATCAAGGTGACCCAACAAGCCATACTTTGAGAGCAAACTCTGCTTTGTGTAAGGATCGGTAGTGCAGCAGATCTCAGCAGGCCTTGCTGTAGGCCCCAGTCAACTGATTGGCATTCATGGCAAGCTCACTCACAGAGGAAGATCTTTTGTATTGCCAGCTTGAATTCAAAGGAGGAATCTGGGGTGTGCTTCTAGTTTTTCTTCCTTTTAGCTGTGGCTTGAAACTCCCTTGTGCTTGACCTCATAGATGCTATCAAGCATAGGAAAGATGTTTGTGCTTTGCCTGTCTCCAAGACCTGGCAGAACTAATTTGATCTGCGGCCTAGCAGTTCCCCACCTTTGCCCTAAAAGGCTTGGGCCCAGGTTACCTAAAGAGCACACTGCCTTAACATCTGGGGGAGGGGCCTTTCTCTACGTTTCATCTATGATGGAAGCAGAGTTGAGTGTGACTTTCAATGGCCGCATTCCATTTTACAGTCGTACCTCGGGTTACATACGCTTCAGGTTACACACTCCGCTGACCCAGAAATAGTGCTTCAGGTTAAGAACTTGGCTTCAGGATAAAAACAGAAATTGGGCTCCGGCGGCGCAGCGGCAGCAGGAGGCCCCATTAGCTAAAGTGGTGCCTCAGGTTAAGAACAGTTTCAGGTTAAGAATGGACCTCCGAAACGAATTAAGTACTTAACCCGAGGTACCACTGTATATTTGCTTGCCCCACAAAACCTGGGTGGCTCCCTTTCTTGCTGGCTAGTAAAGACTTTGAAAGAAATTATATGCCAGACTTTTGCCATACGTGGCAGAATGGCAGATAAGCCTCCCCCCAGCTCCTCTGAGTTGGTTTTCATGTTATCGTAGAATAATAGAATCATAGAATTGGAAGGGACCCTGAGGATTTTCCAGCCCAACTCGCTGCAGTACAGGAATCTACAACTCTCCCACATGGGGATCAAATTTGCGACTCAAACTCAGCACCGTGCTCTAGCCAACTGAGCTATGTCTGCATCCGCTTGTGTTGTGTTGGGGTTTTTATGCTGATTTTGTTGCGACGTTGTGATGTGCAAGCATTAGAAAAGCGGGGGGAGCAAAAATGGATGTATGGAAATGTATCTGATCCTTGAGCTTCTGGTTATTTTGAAAGAACTAACCCTATAGTTTTTGTGTGTATTCTAGCACTCCAGCGGAGTATACACCGGCTTCATCAAAGTTCAGATGGAACTGTGCAGACCCATCACGGTACAGGCTCCTGCGAGTCCCGGGAAGCATGTCAACAACAACTCGGAGACAGCTTTTTGCTTGCCTAACGGCTACACAAATACCCTTCACATCAGCAGCACTAACACTGTTCGTGAAGTTATTGAAGCTTTGCTCAAGAAGTTCATGGTGGCTGATAACCCTGCCAAGTTTGCGCTTTATAAACGTTGTCACAAGGAAGATCAAGGTATGCTTCTAAATCTTCTGAATGATCATATGGTCGCTCTGTACTCTTAAGACTTGGGGAAGAGGGCTCCCCGGTTTGAAGTCCCATCTAGCAGAGGTTTTCAACCATTTGGGTCCGTGGTTCCCTTGACCAACTACGTTCTTTCTGCGGCACCCCTGTGGGGCTCAGGAGCCCAGTTATGTCACCCCTTGCCTGCAGAGCCCCTCAGCCCTTTTCGAACACACTCCTTTGTGGAGTGTTCCCTCAGCCTCGTCTTCTCTCCTCTCTTCTTAGGAGTCGTCTGGGCAGCTGCAGCTGCCAGCCCTGGTCTCTGAGCTGCCCCTCCCCTGCCCCAAAGAGAGGTGCCTCCTCCCACTGCCCCACAGGGGCCTGGGAAGCACCCCCTGGCCAGCCCTAGAAGCACCATTCACCTGTGGAACTTGTAGCCAGGGCTGCTGCAACAAAAAGCTGTTCAAGCCTTGGGGAGGCAGAGATGCAAGAAGGCATCAGAAGAAGGAGGGAGGGACAGAGTTGCCAGTGGCACCCCTGACCATCATTCAAGGCACCCCAGGGGGCCATGGCACACTGGTTGAAAACCACTGCCATCTAGTGATAGCGGTTTCGCGCGCTATGCAAAAATCACAATGTGGGAAAAACTATGAAGCCAGCCCATGCCTGATGCCTCTACAAACTCCATCCTTATTTCAGACATCGTGATATATCAGTTTATCACAAAGTTTAGCTGGTGATATATCACAATGTTGAAAACCAAGTATCACCTGGCCCTATTGAGGACACTAGAGTTTGTTGGAAAATACTTAGATTTATTCAGCTTGATGGATTTTACTGCAGAGGGCTGTAGTACGTAAGAAGTCACAGCAAAAAGGTTTCTACTAAGGCAGAATCGTCATTAGATACACAACCCATAGATTCACTCCAAACACTGTTTAGATCCAGCCACATTGCACTACTGTATAGGCCGACCTGTTTACATCTAAATACTAGGCCTACTAAACACAACATGCACTTGTATCATGTTTTGAAAATACAGTACCATCTTTCTGTTTAGGTGGTGTACGAATTGAAAAGGCACATAAATAATATTGTCTAATAAAATCGCATACATTTGCTACAAGACTCTTAAACGAGCAAGCAAGGGAGCCATAAACCAGAACCATAAAAGATACAAAGAACTGAGTGCTGGTTTAAGTCAGCCTTTCTTATCTTCCTTCTGAAAGTGTGTAAATGTTCTTGCTTTTGAAAAAGGCTCTGGAAACGGTTCTTGCTACCCTTGCTGTTGGGCCACCACTGAGAAGGCTATCTTCTCTGAATGCTAAATTGCTTCACATGCCAAACAGAAGGAGCAAGATTTCATTCCAGTGCTTAGGAATGTTCATCTGGCAAAAGTGGTCCCTTAGATATACTTGAGTCTTGGCTGTAAAATAAAGTGGTTGGCGTTTTTTTCCCCACAAGTAGCAGGAAACTGATTGCATATACACTTGTCAGTTTTGTGTATTCTGAATATGTTTAAGTTTGGGTGTTTTGCTTAGTGTTTCCTTTTTTGCTTTAGCAGTTGTCACTGTTGCTGTGCCTCACGTAATGAACTTTGCTCATAATTCTCAGTTTGTGCAGCAACATTTGAGGTGGGGGGCGGTCTTTTGTGTGTATGTTGATCTAGTTCTAGTCTAGAATTTTTAGCAGAAATTCTGTATGCATATTTACTCCCCACCCCTTTTAATCTCACACTTTTTTAGTGTATATGTGCAAGCTCTCAGAAATTGAACATCCCCTTTATTTGCGGTTGGTGGCAGGCCCAAGGACAGACATGCTGAGTTTTGTTCTCCGTGAGCATGAAACTGGAGAGTTTTTGGTAAGTTGGCAGCTCTGTTTATAGCATCAAACAGCTTGGAGGGGTTCTTGAGGGTTTCCAAGTCCTACTTTTTTCCATTGCCAGGATTTTGGACTATTTCCCAATTGATGTTTGTCAAGTGTACTACTCTCAGGCTCTTTTGTAGGCCAGAGAAGGACCTGTTTTGATACCAGTTAAAATCCAGTCTGTAATTTTAAGATTTTTAAATCATCTACATGCTTTTGTAATCCCCTTTCCCCTCCACAGTGGGAAGCTTTTAGTGTTCCTGAACTACAGAACTTCTTGCGTATACTGGACAAGGAAGAAGATGAGCAGCTGCAAATCTTACAAAGACGCTATGCAGCATACAGAGACAAACTTGAAGAAGCCCTTGGTGGAGTCTGGAAACCAGGTTAAAATGGGGCCAAAGAACACTCAGGAAAAATACAAATTACCAAATATTGCATCGCATGCCAACCCCCAGAGCAAGAGCAAGAGTACCTGTGTCATTAAAACATATGACCTTTTTTTGTTATCATAGAGGTGGTTCTGTAAATTTGACATACTTTTACATCTTGCAGGTAGCAGCAAAGGGAATTTGCAATATTTGCAGACCTGTGTTGTGTGCGTACTTCACGAGTCTTTTCAAGATTGCATCATGCTAACTGTGATTGTATGATGAATCTGTTTTCAAAGACCCTGTGAAACACAAGACATTATGTGCTTTAATTACAATTTGTAGCTTTTAAAACTTAAAGGGGTGTGCAAGTTAGATTTTATTATAAATCTCAGCTCGGTTTAGAATAAGGATTAGCACACTATTTGATACCAAAATTGATTTTTGCACTACCTTTCTTCTGATATTTTTGAAATACGTATTATTTTTATTTGTAGAAGGGATGAACAATTGTGTCCCAAATGTTATGCAGAAGATGTTGAAGTAGTTTGAGCTGGAGAAGGTAGAGGGGAAGTAGAAAAGAAGGTGAGAGAGGAGAGAAGTGAGAATGTTGGAACAGGAGAAAAGTTGGTTAGTGTGTTGTAAAGACGGTTGAGTGTTTATGCTGATTAGTATTACTGAAATTAATATATTCAGATGCTATTATTGAGAGAGAATTTACTAAATATAGTAAAAGCGGAATTGCATAGAGGCTGTGTGCGACCAGCAACACACTTTAGTCACAGTCTTGCATGTGCTGTTAAAATACACTCAGATTCTTGGTTGAGGTTTTCATTAGTAAAAACAGCTTTTAAGGAATTAATCCACAACTGTTGCAATGCTGAAAGGTGCAGTTGCCTTGATCTCACCACAAAACTTCGTACCTTTGCGTAGAAAGAGGCAAAATAGTGCCATTCTCCTGGTTTTATTTAAAAACTCAAGGAAGAAAGAAAATCCTTCTGAATTAAGTAGGCTAGGAGGAAAAGTAGCTTTGCGCTGTGAGAAACTTGAGCTATATCTGGTTTGGTTTCTGTGTTTAAACTATACAAGTTTTGAAAAACTGGCTAGGATTCTGTATGCTGCTGAACCATGGTAAATAATTGGAAGAGGAAGAATTTTGTGTTTTGACTGTAACTGCATTTTCCCCCAGAACTATTTTTATCTAAAGTATGTAAGGTGTAAATGAAATCAAAGAAATGGGTGTGCAATTCAAACCTTTATATAAATGTATCAAAAGACTTTCAAGTTTATATTTGCAGCCACCCAGGGGAAAAAAAGATATTGGTTTGGAGTAATAATTTATATAATTTAAGGAATCGTGAGCAGCAACCATCCCCCCTCCCTTTGAATTATTTGGGCATTAATTTTGAAATTTCTGAGTAATATCTGCCAGTCGCTGACACCTGGTGGGGATTATATGCAACTCCAAGACATATGTTCTCTTGGGAAAGTGTGCCTTGTTTTTAAAACTTTGGCTGTTTATTCCCCTCAAAATATTGAGGTTTGAGGGAGAGGTTCTAATCTCAGACTTGCCAAGACAATCTTGATATATTAAATGGTTAGCAATAACTTAAAAGTAGAATTAGGTATCAATCAAAGGCATATCTTGTTGGAGTTTTTATTATTATTTCATGTGTAATACTGTAGTGCTTTGTGTGTGTCTTACTGTTTTTTACCAGAGACCTAATCAAGAGTCACATAGGGTAGTGGGGGAAGGTTATGTGTTGAACATCAGTTTTGGAATTATTTTTCTACAAAGGCTATGTGTCACATTATCGGAAAGGTTTAGGTGTTAACTGCTTCTATGTGCCAGCCACCCAGAAGCCTTTGCCCTTTGTTGAGGGAAGTGTTAACATTTAAATGCTTCTTCTAGCACACATGCTGACCAGTCGTGTGCAAGGGTATACACCCTGCCAGGGACACACCGTTAACTGGCAGAGAGTGTATACTTTGCGCACAGTGGCGCAATCCTCTTAGCAAGATGCATCAAACATGGCTCCTGCATAAAACATTGTCACAGAAAGAGATTTTTCACTAGAGCAGAGCCAAAAGTTAATCACTGAGCCCTTTCTGCTAAAATTAGGGGTGCAGAGGGTAGCGCCACCCCGCAAAAAACAACAACGGTGGTGACCCCCCCCACTCACTTTTTTTGCTCCTTCCACTGCATTTTCATTTATTTTTCCCATTTCTGAGTGCTGTTGCTTTGTTTCAAAATGGCAGCTTTTTTTTACAGCGGTTCTCAACCTGTGGGTCCCCAGGTGTTGCTGGACTACAACTCCCATCATCCCTGAGCTCTGGCCTTGCTAGCTAGGAGTGGTGGGAGTTGTAGTTCAACATCTGGGGGCCCACAGGTTGGGAAAGGCTTCACCTGTCTTGAAGCCAGATCGGAGTGACGGCAGGAGGGCCCTGCTTCCTGCTTCCACTCTGGTTGTCTTCCTGGGTTAAGAAGTCAGTGGAGTAAGGGAAGAAAGCTCCATTTCCCATTTTGGCCTCAGAACGGACACCATCAGAGCTAGGAAGCAGTATATCCTGTATGCAGTGGAAGAAATGCCATCGGCAGGGAGAGTGAACATGCTGCTGGCAAGTCAGGAGAAAACCCCACCCTTCTTTGTGTTCGTATTCTCATGTGCACAGTTCCAAAATGGCTGCCCAACTTGGATGTGGTAAACTGGGGAAGAGGAGTGCATTTTGGCTTAGCTCTTTGCTCATGCCTTGCGTCTGGGAGCAGCTGAATTCTAAACTGGCCTTTGGAGTCACTTAATTCTATTGAAACTCATAAAAAGTTGATGTTTGGAATTTTAATATTAATCAGGTTGCTCGAAATTTAAATACTGTATTTCAGTCTAGAAATGACAATCTACAAGTATGTGAATCTTAATTATTATTATTTTTACTTGAACTTTGTGTTTTCCTAACCCCTACATCTTCTCTTGGTGTGTTTTATGAACTGCAGGAATAACAAAATTTATATTCCAAGCAGTCTCAAGCTGAAAGCACACTGGTTACTACAGGTGTTTTGTTTTTGTTTTTTTTAAAAAACCCAAAGCTTCAAAGAATAGGTCAACATTGATCCAAAGGTAGGGTTTTTTGGGTTTTTTTGTAGGCTTTAATTTTGTTTTCTTGTCAGGTTCTTAATCTGTCAAAGATGCATTGCAAACTGTTTTATGTTTTGACTTTGGTAGTAGCTGACTGGAGGGTGATGTGGAAAACACTGAAAAAAGGTTTTCTTTTTTAAAAAAACAAACTTGTACTATTTATTTTGAATTTTTTTTAATAGGGAAGCCTTAATGATTCCCTTTGAAGTTGTTATAGCAAGTTGTAATTCCATCATTAAAGCTAAAGTTGACACCGATATGGATGCTTTCATTGTTTCATTATTGGTTTAAATTTATAGTCCTTCCAACTACAGGTTAATGGTAACAATCTTTGCTGACTTGATGGGACTTCGCAACAGCAGTATCCTCAATCTGCACCAGGCATCTGACACCAGCTAAATTTCCCTCAATATCTCCAAGGCTGAGGGGTACAATATTTACATTATTTTTGTTGTTCTTACAGTTATACATCCACATGCCAGAGATGGATAGTGACTTTCCCAGGACACAAAATTCTGCTATGTTCAAGGATAAGAAAAAGCAAACCATTTGCTCACGTTGCAGCAATCAGGAAAATTCCTTACAAATTCAAACCACGCATCCTAGTAAAGGCATAACCAAGCCTGCAGCAAGTATTCTTCAGCTTGGGGATGGCAGGTGCTTAACACATTAAGCAGCTATGGCCCATTAGAATCTGAGAGAGTTGTCATATTGTAGACGTTGCATATTATCACAACCCTTTATACTTTGAGAAACTGCAGGGCCTGCATTTATCCAAAATTGTTTTTCAGGGCTCTAACATGATGCTATAACATCTAACGAAAACTAACCACGGACCTCCTTCATTGGTCTTAAAAGATTCATCATTGCTCCTGGAGTCTTTGGAGCTTTATTAAGTGAGAGCAACCCAACTGAAGCTGGAGTTCTGTTTCGAAAGTGAAGCAAATGAATGATAAACAATTAAACCGTGCTGTAAAGTGATTTCTTTCATCACGAAAGAGAACACATGGCATTCTGTATAGTTTCTTTATTCAAATCTCACTTCAGAAACCACTGAGCAGGCCCAGAATTTTCAGTAGCTTGGGATCTCTCTCTGCACTAAATGTTACAAACATAAGATAATTTGTAGTGCTAATTTGGGTTTTTCCTGAGGTTACTTTATAGGTAAAACTACCCACTTCCACCAAGGGTGGTCATGGGTGTTGGGGTTCCCCCCTCCCCTATTTAACAAAGACATTTTAATTTATTTATTGAAGTGTTTGTGCTATTTACTATGCATAGCTATTCATGCCTTGGCTACAACCACATTAGTCTGCTGTCATGTGCACTAAATGTTGTCTTTTAAGGATGATCTGGAAGCTTTAACTCAGGGGTCAGTGAATTTTTTCAGCAGGGGGCCAGTCCACTGTCCCTCAGACCTTGTGGGGGGCCGGACTATATTTTGAAAAAGAAAAAAGAATGAATTTCTAGGCCCCACAAATAACCCAGAGATGCATTTTAAATAAAAGCACACATTCTACTCATGTAAAAACACGCCGGTTGCCGGACCATCCGCTGGCCGGATTTAGAAGGCGATTGGGCTGGATCTGGCCCCTGGGCCTTAGTTTGCCTACCCATGCTTTAACTCGTAGAAAACAGCTGGTGAGTTACATGTGCAGGCTAAACAATACCTTTTTCAGAGGAACATACAGGACATATTCTGCACCACCTCTTCTGCTTTCAAAGAGCCAATGAAAGTGTTGATTGTTCCCTTTAAAGCCTTAAATAGTTTAAGACCAGGTTTTTAGGAGGAGGAGGCCCCATTAGCTAAAGTGGTGCTTCAGGTTAAGAACGGACCTCCGGAACGAATTAAGTACTTAACCCGAGGTACCACTGTAGAACATAAGGCCCCATAAAACAGATGAAGTGTTAATTGTGCCTGTGCTTATGGAAGGTTCTTAAAAGCACTTCAAAGGGAGTCAGAACTGTGCTAATGGCCACAGAGCGCAGCACTTGTGTAATTTCAACACGCAGTGGTATTGTGTAGTGGGGTGTCCTGCCCCTTGCTGCCAAGCGGTGTGTACACTTCAGAACATTATGTGGATGCAGGATGTGTTGTTGTTTTTACAAAATTTTAAGCTGTTCCTCACAAAGCTAAATCAATGTGTTATGATCACCAAACAATACGTCACTCAACAATTCAGATATGTGTACCTTTAATTTCAGTTCATCACAAACAATTATTTTTGTTGTACATAAATTTAATTACTGAAAAGTGCAGCAATAATACAGGGTCCTTCAAAGGGCACTTTCTAAAAAAATTGCTATGATTCATGAGTAAGAAAACTAGCATACATAGTTGTCATACAGCAACACTTAAAGGAAAACTGAACAGAAAATGCCATGGTTTTGAGCAGCATTACAAACATTTTACTGGGGTTTTTTGTTTTTGTTTTGTACTGATCAGGATGGATTTGGTGGTGTGGGGCCTAAGTACAAAAAAAAGACCTACCTAGTACAAGCACTTGTAAAACCCTAGCAATTACATGCAGTGACTGTCTATTTGGTGAGTTACATATGAACAGACAGCCTTCCAGAATAACTTGCCTTTTAAAAGAACTTGCATTTTGGCCAAGAGTTGTTTTTTAGCAGAAACTTCTGAGATGATAGGGCAGTGCTGTGAAACGTTAACGAGCCCTGAAAAAAATTGATAGGTTCTGTTAATTGAGCTAGAAGTTGTTTTTTTCTCTGCACAAGAGATGTGAGCTGTGAAAAAAAAATCTAATTAAAACTCCACCAGTCAACTCCGGGCTGCTGCTCACAATATATAGCAGCTATGCAATGTCATGAGTAACTGTGTGCAAATTGGCTTGCCAGGCAAATTCATTTTCTACTGCATAGTTTGCTCCCACATCACTGCCAAGCAGCTCTCAGTTTAGCAATGTGAATGTTACGGTCTCATTTTCTTTAAAACTAATACTGTGTAAGGCCTCTGTTGGTATCCAACAGTTGGAGGACAGCGTCTTCATCGTAAAGTGCAAATGGACAATAGCTAGAATCTTACAGAAAGAAGTGATTAGATCTGTGTGTGGGGCTGTGTGTTACTTTTAGGTAAATGCTTAGGCGCAAAGACTGGTTAAAAGTAGGTTTCTCGTGGTCCTTTCATTCTTACAATTCCACTTGACATCAAGTTCAAAGCAGCCTGTTTTTCCCATGCCAACATTGTGCATTGAGACATGATCGGACTTCCTCTCCCTGACACCCCCAAAGCTCCCCCAGTTCCCACCCAGAGCAAATTTTGCGGTTGTATAGGGTTCTGCAGGTGGAGGAAAAGGGAAAGTCCAGTTTGCGTGAACTAAAATAAATTGCATAAGTTGTGGTTTGTTTTTTAACAGAAGATATGCAGCGTTGGATAGTATAGTTAGAAGTTATCACATTTAAGACATTTTGAGATGCAAGCTCACTGTTCTGAAATAAAATAATAGTAAGAACCTAAAGAAATAACAAAACAAGTAAAATCTTTCCATTCTGTGTTTTACAAGATCCCAAGTTTCTTCCTGAATTGCTATTGTATATTACCTGGTTCATAAGTGCCTTGTGAGGAATCAGCTAGTGAATTTCATAGTATTAAATATACCAAACTACTACTAAGTTGTTTCACTCATTCTGTATGGTTAGTTTCGATAGCATGAACATTGCTTAAGACATGCAGCACAGAATCTTCTGCTCAGACCAAGTAAAACACCTTAACTCTTAAATGTTTATTAAAGTCAGGGGTGGCAAACCGGTGGCCTGCCAGATACCACTGAACTTCCATCATTCCCGACTGATGAATGTGATGGCTGGGACTGATGGCAATTGGGAGTCCAACAACCTCCAGGTGATTACAGGCCCCCACCCCCTACTCTCAAGTCCACACAAACGGAATATTACAAATGAATATATTAGAAGTTAACCTTAATATGGTACAGGAGCTTGCTACTAAAATATGTTGGAACTCATTCTGATCCACTCTAGCTAGAGGTATTAAATGCAGACAGGGAGACAAGAGTAATCTTTCTCAAGGTTATGTATGACAAACAGAAAATAAAAACACGTAATATATTTAACTGCAGCAGAACTGACATGTTTCTAGCTCTGATTTAAATCACTGAAGTTGACGAGCAATGCCCCCCTGCTGGTTTTCAGAGGTGTTTAAATTGGCTGGAGCCTAAATCTCTGAAGCAATTTCCTTTCATGCTCTCCCCCCACTTCCAGGATGACTCAAGCCACCTTCTCACCTTATTCCTCCTTGACCCTGCTGCTCTTTATGTGACCTCAGCCTTTATCATCTGACACGGCATATGTCCAAATAGGCCATTCCTATAAAAAAGGTCCATTTATATTTGTTGCTCCTATCTATTGTTAAGTGGATACGATTGGGACAAAACTGTTTGGGGGCATTGTGTTGCTCAAGTGTTTAAGGAGATATGCCCTTTGGGTGATAAGTCAGCTAATTGAAGAGAACTGGTCTGGTATTCAAGCAAATGTCGATAACAGCTAGCAACAGTCTGATCGGCTTCTCTGGATATTAAATAAAAATAGGACCAAACGTTCAACAAGTGCTAACAATATATTTCACAGGCATAGGACAATCGAGAATAAGAAGCGTCAATTCTGGGCATCAAATAAATACGACTTGCAGTTTTGTGGCATAAAGGGCTAATACAGTAAGCATTATATCCTAAAGCAACTTTCTCAGATGAGGCACTGGAAATACTCTCCTCTGTATATATTGCTACATTGGGACATCAGATTCTATTGTACTTTTGAGAATGCACATTTTCCAATTAAAATATCACTCTTAAATTAGTGGCTCCCATACAAAATAAATGGCACATTCAGCGTATTTTCTATTTTTTGGGGGGGTGTGTGTGTCTCCATTTAGTGGTTTACTTGGTTCTGATCTGAAAAGAGAGTTGATTAATACATATTGAGACAATCTAACAGGCACATACATTCTAATCAGCAATTCCAGACAAGTCCTGAAAGGCTGAGAAGAAAAGCAATGGCAACCTCCCTGGTTAAAACTTGACTAGACTTCTAAACACAGCCCAGAAGCAGGATGCTGCTTCTTAAAAAGCTTAGCCGGTAGTGCTGTAGGGAGGCGATCTTTGGCCTCTGCCTACAGGGTAGGCCCAGGATGACCCTGCTCCCCCCAAAAAAACTTACGTCAGGACCAGCTCTCAAAGGTAAGCAGTTAACACAGTTTCCACCTGAGGTATTTTTACATAACACCAAACAAATTGGGATTCCTGGCCACAAGTCAACATTGTACTTCAGGATGCCATTTTCAGATTGATGTGGTAATCAGATTTTGAGGGAACTAGACCGATCATGTCTGTTAGCACGTATTGCACAAAACAACCAGCTGGGGAGGTTATCTTCTCCAAACAGAGTCCGCCAATCATGCCTTTCAGATGTAGTCATAGTGGATTCAGCAGATATTCTGCAGTCACTTTGAAGAAATGTTAACAAAACAGGCTAGTCACTGCAGCTACAGGGACCGTGTAAAAAGTCTGCGAGCCTGAGTCCCATGATTGCTGAACATCAGGTGTGGGTTGAACTTGTATCTACAGGGAAAGGGGTGAGTTTGGGAGAAGAGGAGGGAAAAACAAGTGCTTTCAAGTCAAGTCTGGTATTTACAGTTTTTAAAAATATCAGCATTCTATGTGTGTTACAGAATCTCTCGCTGATCTTTTCCTCGAGAGAAACCTCTGCTGTATTAGTTACATCACATTCATGCAAGAGCCCCGTGCTCCATTAAAATGAATGGTGGCTGGATAGATGCTGCATTTAGTTGAACACAGTATTTTCAAAGAAGCAACTGTTTCCGTTGTTTAGTTCCAAGCTCAAAAGTGTTTGAAGCAGCTGCTAACAAGCAAGCTGCAGCAAGGGGTTTGTTATATATAAGCTTTAAAGACTTCATGGTTAGGCCCAGATAAGCGGTTTCTTTTAAAGCCTGTGGCTTGGACCAAGGAAAACCTCCTTCCCCCGCAACCCCCCCCAAATCCTCTCTAGAGAATCAGGTTGGGTGCAAGTAAGGGGAGGAAAAATGAGAAACCTTTTATTCAAGATAAATGATCTTAGTATTCAGGTCTCGGTGTGTGTGTGTGTGTGTGTGTGTGTGTGTGTGTATATATATATATTTCTTTACCGCTTTATGTTTTTAATAAAAATCTCAAAGTGGTTTAAGGTAAAGGTAAAGGGACCCCTGACCATTAGCTCCAGTCGTGGCCGACTCTGGGGTTGCGGCGCTCATCTCGCTTTACTGGCTGAGGGAGCCGGCGTACAGTCATGTGGCCAGCATGACTAAGCCGCTTCTGGCGAACCAGAGCAGTGCACGGAAACGCTGTTTACCTTCCCGCTGGAGCGGTACCTATTTATCTACTTGCACTTTGACGTGCTTTCAAACTGCTAGGTTGGCAGGAGCAGGGTCCCAGCAACGGGAGCTCACCCCATCGCGGGGATTTGAACCACCAACCTTCTGATCAGCAAGTCCTAGGCTCTGTGGTTTAACCCACAGGCAAAGTGGTTTACAGCATATTAATTCAAGAAAGCATTAGCCGGGCGATGTTCCTCCAGCCTCATGAGGAGCCTCTTTAGTGGAACTGGTGAGTATGGGCCACGCCCCCTAGCCCAGCTGGAAAGGGCTTTTCGGGGAGCAGCCTTCACGCCTCACTGCAGGGTGATGTTCCTTTGTTGGATATCCTTCACTATTAAAAGGACTTGCCTCACTTGCACGAATTCCGATTTAAAACCTTGTAACTGAATTTTACTTACAGTAACTCAAAGACCAAGAGGGAAGGTCTATGTGCCTGAACTGTTCAAAAACAGTTGCAAAGCCATATAATGATTGAAATAGGTCAATAAGTGCAGGCTTACCCTGGATCAAATACCCCTGGTGTGCGGCAAGTTGCTCCAGAACAGGACTGCAACATCATTAGCCGATAGTTCATCTTTTCTAAAATTTCTTGATCTATTGTTTTTGCGATGTTGGTAATCTGGTGCGGGTCTGCAGTCAAGTTGTAAACTTCAACAAACACCTGCATTAAAAAACAACAACACAAACGACAGGCTAAATATGGAACGGAGGATTTATAGCCAGAGATACTACAATGAAGATTGCTATTACATCTTAACATGGTCTGTTACAGTGGTACCTCAGGTTACAGACGCTTCAGGTTACAGACTCCACTAACCCAGAAATAGTACCTTGCGTTAAGAACTTTGCTTCAGGATGAGAACAGAAATCGCACGGCAGCGGGAGGCCCCATTAGCTAAAGTGGTACCTCAGGTTAAGAACAGTTTCCGGTTAAGAACGGACCTCCAGAACGAATTAAGATCTTAACCCGAGGTACCACTGTAGATGCCATATGGATAAATCCATTTGTCGATCCCATCCTGTAGCTCCTTTTGTGGGAGGAATACATCTGAACTTCAGCTTGGTTTGTGCGACAGTAAGCAGAAACCAAATCGCTTTCCCATTGTCTTCTAGTTTTGCCACTCATAGTGGATCACCCTCGTGATAAATGGGAGGCGCAGTCAAGTGGGATGACCGCCCTCTTCCACTGAGCGCGCAAGCTTTGGGAGGGAGGGGGACACCTGCCTAGCCTGCCAGGTCAGCTGAATCAACCCTGATGATCTATGGAGTGACAGATGTCGCTTCATGAGCAAGTGTTCATGCAGCCAACATCTTACTAATGGGATTTAAATTTCGCTTCTAAAGGGAGAGGTAGGTCACTAAAATCCTCTCAAAGCCAATTGTCCCGGATCTTTTTACAGACCTGTGTTCCCTCTTCAGTGTTCAAGCTGCCTGCCTCGTTTCAATTTACGATGCTACCGGTTCATCAAACCTTAGGTTTTACATTCGTCATTAACAACTACTGCTAGAGCCGCACCTGCTAGAACAAGAACCGTACTCTCATGTTCGGCCCCAGCCTTGTTTTTCATACATCCCTTGCGGCATGTAGCAAACAGCACCTTACCCAATGTTTGCTCACTCCAGCAGTGAGATACAGCTGAGGGTACAATCCAGAGCAGGCTATGCATGCAGGTCTCTTTTCTCCTAGTATTAAAATTAGTGGCTCTTTAAAGCCAAACAGAGCAGTATTCACTGCCAATGCAGGTAAGGAGTAACATGCCAAAAACCCATTTCTAGCCATTACACAGTTACCTGGTGTGTGATTGCTCTGCACAAAAGGAAATACCGTATTTTTCGCCCTATAGGGTGCACCGGCCCATAGGGCGCACTGGCCCATAGGGCGCACCTAGTTTTGTGGGTGGGTGGGAAATAAAGAAAAAAAAATCCCCCCCCCCCAGGCGCGGGGCTGGGAAAGCCCGAGCTTCCCCAGCCCCCAGAACAGGCTGCTATCCGCAAGCCTTGGGAGCCCGGCAGGAACTCCCGCCGGGCTCCCAAGGCTTGCGGATAGCTTCCTGAAGCCTGGAGAGCGAGAGGGGTTGGTTGGAGGGGGAAAAGTGCATCCTATAGGGCGAAAAATACGGTACTAAACTTCTGCACCAATGTTATAGGAACCTATACTAAAAGCAACTGAAAATATAACCATGTCCACTAGGATGCGGGGTATATATATATATATATCATGGGTTGAGAAATAAGAACAGAGGGTCTTCCCTCTGAAGAATCTAACTAAAAACAGAGTGACAGTCAGAAGAGGGAATAAGGGATTGATTGCTGTAGAAGTGTAGGAAGAGAACTACTTTCATAATGACAACACAGAATAACAGTATTCTATTAAAACTGATATTCTCTTAAGCTGTGACCTGTTGTCAAGATGGCAATTCTCTGTCATGCAGTGCTGTCATATTCTTTACACATCCCTCTACCTGCTTCATTTAGCCAAACTCACACAGCTTTCTCTACGTATCTTTTCATTGCAAGATTCTGCTTGTAAAAGAAAACTTTCAGAGTTCTTGAGCCGACACTGAGTTTACTTCAGAAGACAGAAGGTAAGTGCTGGACTAGCAAGATTATAGGTAAAGGTAAAAAAGGTAAAGGACCCCTGGACGGTTAAATCCAGTCAAAGGCAACTGGAGTTGTGGCGCTCATCTTGCTTTCAGGGCAAGGGAGCCAGCATTTGTCCACAGACAGCTTTCCAGGTCATGTGGCCAGCATAACTAAATTGCTTCTGGCGCAGTGGAACACTGTGACGGAAACCAGAGCGCATGGAAATGCCGTTTACCTTCCCACCGCAGCAGTACCTCTTTATCTACTTGCACCGGTGTGCTTTCAAACTGCTAGGTTGGCAGGAGCCAGAACAGAGCAACGGGAGCTCACCCTGTCACGGCGATTCGAACCGCAAAATTATATACCCCTACTAAAGGTTGCTTCCTGCATTGCATTTTACTGACACAGGGATAAATTCTTACAGGAGTGGGTCATGGTTCCCCTTGTCAAAGTTCACCTAAGTATTTAACGAGTTAGAATTGTCGTTTGGGATCAGAAGCAGCCCCGGGAGTCTTGCCCACTGCATAACTGAAACGAAAGTTACAAACCCAAAACAAACAGGATGATTAAATATAGATATCTGAACCAGCTGTCTGGTGAGGGAGCTTTCAGGTCAAATGGGAAATAGCTGATCACACTAAATTTAACCTACTTGGTTAACCAGGTTCTGGGATTTGCATAAATAACTCCTAGAACTGTTATTCTCATCTGCACAGAATAAATACACCAGGAGTTGAAGTTAACATGGTCCTGTAAAAAAACCAACAACAACCCAAAAAACAAAACAATTACCTCACGATCATCGAATTCACAGTACTGCAGATCCCATGAAGAAGAGAGTGTTCTTACACATGCGTATGTATTGTTGTATGCATCTTCACAGACACAATCTGGAAAACAATGCTATAAACACAAAAGTTCTGTTACAATGCGGCACACATCCATTGTTAAACATGAACAATACAGAGCACCGACAGTGGACAGCGACGTAGGTTAAGACCCAGCCCACAGACTGTCCTAGACGCAACTGCAAATTTGCTTTTAAACGCTTCCTTTTTGGGGGCCCATGTACAAGATGCCACTCCTAATCTTTCCACACAAACCCTCAGCGACCCCATGCTTCTCAACATTCTTCAGATAAGGATTCTAAAAGCAAATGGAAGAAAACAGAACAACGTACGGTGACACCAGGTCCAAGGGCAGGGCAGGTAGGATCACTACTGTTGTGTCCTTCTCCTTGGTACTCAACCAAAACATCTGATCTCCAGGTCACATTTGCATCTCCTCTCTAAAATAAAGCAAATGTCAACAACTGCGTGGGTCAGACCGAGTAGAATGGAAGCTTCATAAAACAAAAAGAGCTTTTAGCCTTCAGAACTGTGGAGACTAAGCCTGAAAAGAGACTTAAGTATAAACACGAAGAAAGCCCCAGTCCTTGCACTCTATAGTTTCATGACTGAAAGCGGATGTCATCTTCAGTATCTGATGTTAGAGATAGAAGAACTGCTGAGAAAGAATTTATATGAATTTTCACACTGCTAAAGTGTCCCATAAATGCACTAGGTGCTCTCCACCAGATTCACAATAAAAATGGCGCAAATGTGGGAGGTACAACTACAGAGCTCAGAGATGTTATGCCAGGCATAGGTAAACTCAGCCCTTCAGATGTTTTTGGCCTACAACTCCCATCATCCCTAGCTAACAGGACCAGTGGTCAAGGATGATGGGAACTGTAGTCCCAAAAAATATCTGGAGGGCCGAGTTTGCCTATGCCTGGACTATGCTAAGTTTATATGTTATAAGCACGCACCATTCCTTTCTTTTAGCTCCTCTGGAACTTATCATAAAGTGTTTTGTTTCTTTCTCCTTTTTCCCTTATAATATATACAACAACATAATATATACAGCATCGAATACAACTGATCTGCAGAAAGGACTTTATGATATGAAAATAGAGATGATGTGTGCAATTTGTAACCCAAGAAAATAAAGACAATTGTTTTTAAAAAAGATACAGGTAAGCTGCATCAGTACTCAAATTATTTCACAATATTATTTAATCAGTAAATTGGCTTGTGTTCAATAAATATACACTCTGATTTGCTTTACACCAGGTTGTATTATTTTTTTGTCCATCTAGCTCGATATCAGCTATTCTATGCCTCTCAGACACTGTTCTTTCACATCACATGCTGCCTGATCCTTCCGTTTTAGTGGGTGTCTGCATACAGAAGATCCTGGGTTCAAATTCTGTGCTCTACCACTGAAGCTATCACTCCTACCAATACCAACAGCAAGGGCTGTGTGAAAATACCTACAAGGTACAGGAGATTACGACTGCTGAACATCATAATCTAGAGTGGAAGAACGATCACCGAAGAACAATGTTTAGAGCAGTTACCAGAATACCTAATAATAATAACCCCACCAATGTACTTACCAGTAGTGGTAGTAGTGACATCCCATCCATCTGTGTTTTATTTAGATCATAGCCTGCAATATCTAAAATAGTAGGACCCAAATCTACGTTTGCCACAAGCATCTAGAAGGCAGGAAACATAAAAAAAAATATTATGGATTTTCCTATTATGGTCCAAGTGGAAACACGCACGTTTTCTACTGCATATTGGTCCAAGCATGTTAGTCTACACTTGCTTCTGTCACATAAACAGACTTCCACTGTGCTCTGAAATGCTGGGGAAACATATTGCTAAAGCTCTGGGGAAGCAGTTTAAACAGCACTTGCCATTTCCTCCTGCCAGCTTTCTGCATGCACTGACTGAGCTGCCAACTCAACACATCTTCCATTTAAAGCTAGGACTATAGTTGATACCTGCCTTCTGCTATTAAATGGCAATTACTTGTTATTAACATTTGCTTTACAATAAAAAGGGTACAAGAAAATACAATGATCATTGCTGTGTAATAACCAATTCTTATCCGAGCCATCCCTCGCATTCTCCCCTCTAAACTTGCACGAGAACCTCTAAGAACTTCCATCCCACTGCATTCCATAAGCAAGACAAAAGAGCAAAAAGGAAGACAGAGGGGAAAACATGAAAGGTGTCCACATTCTAATATACACACCTTGACTATTATTTTTATTAATGTGTTACCTTATGGCCAGGGACACGGGTGGCACTGTGGGTTAAAACACAGAGCCTAGGACTTGCCGATCAGAAGGTCGGCGGTTCAAATCCCCGTGACGGGGTGAGTTCCCATTGCTTGGACCCTGCTCCTGCCAACCTAACAGTTTGAAAGCACGTCAAAGTGCAAGTAGATAAATAGGTACTGCTCCAGTGGGAAGGTAAACGGTGTTTCCGTGTGCTGCTCTGGTTCGCCAGAAGCGGCTTAGTCATGCTGGCCACATGACCCGGAAGCTGTACGCCGGCTTCCTCGGCCAATAAAGCGAGATGAGCGTCGCAACCCCAGAGTCGGCCATGACTGGACCTAATGATCAGGGTTCCCTTTACCTTTACCTTATGGCCAACTGTGCTAATCTATGATTTCGGACCAGTTATTTATTTAATGTGAACGCATGTTTAAAAGGGTGTCTGCAGAAGCAATGAAGCGCCAACTCTAGTGTGAGTCCTGGTCCACCTTCCAGTTTTCTAGACGTCATCAGAATACTTTTCACACCCTTTTATGTAGTTGCAACATAGTTGATGCTACCTTACCACTAATGACGCCATTATTGTGAAGTGGTGGCCATAGAGGTAATCATGCAACTTCTTTACTCCAGCCACGACCGCCATGACCTCCCTTGTCAATGATCCCTATCTTTAAGTCTAAACAAAATGCTTGTTTAATCTGGAGGTAGGCTGTCTGAATTGTGCATTGCTTTGTAACAATTTGTTGGGTCTCTGGACCATAATAAAGATTGATTGATTGATTGAGTTGCAACATAATATTTAGAGAAGGCCAGTAAACAACCAAATTTATTCAGTCCCTCGTGTGACTAAGAACTGCCAATGCCTAGGCAAGAAGCTTTGTAACAATTCAACACACACACAATATTAAATCACACAGGCTTGTAGCTGCTGTTGCTTCTTTGCAAGCCCGATTCAGAAGCAGTAACTTCTTCGTAGGTTTTTGACTATTCCATTCTACACAACTGAAGGCTTTACCACTCAATTCTCTTTGCATATTCTGCTTCCGCTTTTCAACATTTTCTCTCTTTCCAATGTCACTCATACTTAATTCTTTTCCCAGTTCAAACAACGAATGTTCTGGAGCCAGGCTGCTTTCAAACAACATGGTCGCAGGTATTTGCACTTATTAAGTGTAACTTTACCTTGTTTGTTTGGTTGGGTTTGATTCCCGGTCCTCGCACCAACAGTGGAACTTTAATGTCAAACTCGTAGAGCTGTCGTTTGTCAATAGGCAATGAAAACTGACCTAAGAAACATGCAGAACAGAAATTATATATATTGCATTGACAGCTTTTGTTATTTTATCCCAGGGAGGGGCTAACCTTTGGCCTTCTAGATGTTTGTAGAGTACAACTCCCACCTTCTCTGACTATTGACCATGCTGGCTGAGGCTGCTAAGAGTTTGAGTCTAATAATATTTGGTGGGTCACAGTTTAGCCACTTCTGCTTTATCCCTCTTGGTGTTTGTTCACTCCCCAGCTGGTCTGCATTTATTCATTAGGGAAACGCTTTATTTTCGGTCACCCCTATATTGTTTTTAGCTTAGAGCTAAATTCCAGGAAGTGACCGCAAAGAGAATATAGGACTAAGATGTTTGGATGCCAATAGTTTCGAAAACCACAAATTTGCATCACTTCTCCCACTTATCTGAAGCCGTTTCAAATGCATGCATAAAAGTTTACAGCCTTTCAATATATATATATATAACTAAAATACATTCACCTGTATGAAAGCCATTGTCTGAAGTGTAAAAAATGTATGTATTATCCAACTCTTCATGAGATTCCAGCCTCTTCACCAGTTTTTCAATCAGATCATCCACTGACAGAAGTGTCTGCCATCTGCATGCAATCAGGAAAGTTTAAGTGTGTTAAAAGTATGAGGGTATGTGCATGCAAATGTGAAATGGAGTATGTTTCATAACTCAAAGCAGATTTTATTATATATTTTTACATTTTTGAGCCCTGCTGTTTTCTATTCTAAAAGGTCCTGTCAATCAATACCTTGATCTAGTTTGTTTGATAATGAGAACCACCATTTTCATGGGATGCAAATTCAAGCAAGTGTTTGAAAATTCTGCAAGACTCACAACTTTGGGAGGGGTGTAAAAGCATCAGCCGGGTACTTAGGTACTATTTAACAGCTCACTGCAAGTTTGGCTTATTCCAGAGGCAGCTGGTTGCAATGGGCAGAAAAGGAAGCAACCCCTTAAGAGCCACAGAGAGAAAGCGGGGTTTTTTTGTCTCTCCATCTGCACACATAACTAATTCACTACCTCTTTTTCTGCCCCCTGTTCTCTGAAATCTATTCTGGTCAACAGAAAGTGAAACCTGATGTGCTGTGCATGCATTTTGCCCCAGGTGGCACGACCCCACCCTCTCCAGAAAAAAATATATTAAAAGCACTACCCATTGAAAAGATAACCTTCAGTAAGGCTAATATGAACCAATGATTCCCCTCTTAGCCTCCTTTTTGGATGACTTTCAATACCTAGCCAATCGCAGCCCTCCAAAACAGTAATTTGCATGAAAGTTAAGTATCCATAACCATCATTCACAACCAACCCACTTTTAGCAGCATCTTAACATTCTTTGACCATTGAGCCATTGCCTGGCTGCACAGGTGGACCCACAAGACCCACTCTCAGGCACGCATGTGAAGAAGATCAGAAGTGACCACAGGGAGCCGCTGAGAGAGGCTTTAGCAAGGGAGAAATCCCTTCTCTGCTCGGGGCTTTTACTTAAGGCTCTCTTGACTCACAAGCGCTGCAGCCATTTAGAGGAGCAATGCACACAAGCACAGCTTCCACCCCCAACAAGGGAAGGTGTTGACTGTGGATCTGTGGCACAAAGGACTATTACATATAGGGGACTATTCCTGATCCCAGCTGCTCGCTCACTAATGGTTAAGAGGTGGCTATGCCTTCTTAACTGTGCTATGTCATAGGAACTTCATCTCTCAACACACAGCAGAGAAACATTCCTATCTGCTCATGGGGAAAGGAAACTTTCTCCCCGCTCTGCCTTCATCAACAGACCCTCTGATTACTGTGCTAAGCAATGAGATAGGGGTTTCATTTATTGCAACGCATTAATAATAATAATAATAATAATAATAATACTCCACCCAACTGGCTGGGTTTCCCCAGCCACTCAGGGCAGCTTCCAGCACATATAAAAACCATAATAAAACATCAAACATTAGAAACAATTTCTTCCTTCCCAGGCTGTCTTTCTCCCTACCTCCCTTTGATCACATGTGTGTGAGAAATATACGAGAGAGAGAAAAGGGTAAGAGTCGAGTGTAGGTGAGTGCATGCCAGCAACAAGAGAGAAGGGCTGAGCGCATGCCAGTGTAACATGAGAGCATATTTCAGCATCAGGTGAGATTAGCCAGGTTTGCATGTGCCTGTGTTCCATGTCTTTAAGCTATCTCTCTCTCTCTGCTTCGCCACCTTCAATGGTCGCCAGTCACTTCTGCTTATCCCTTTCAGCAGCTACTTAAAAGCAACAGCTGTTCTCTGGTACGGAAGGTATGTAAAGACACCAGATGTTTAAAGGAATCTTTGGTGAGGAAAAGGTGGAGAGACAGATGTGACATTCGTGTAACCAAACTTTCTTCAACCAACTGCAATTTATTTCATAACCCAAAGCAAGAATATATCGTGTAGATTTTCAAAGCTAACTAATATATATATATATATATATATATATATATATATATATATATAGTGTGCTCCGTTTCAGTTTTGCAAGAAATCCCATTAAAAAAAATTAGTATAGGTTCCTACCTTTTCCTAAAAGCGTCATCTAGAAATTGTATTGATGAATTAGTCATTGGTGTCTTTGCTTGCCTGATGAGCCAATGTTTGTCCTATAAAACATATTATCAACATTTGTTACTTTAGATTTACCCACCGCCTCATGCCAAAGACTTAGGGTGAAGAACAATTTAAAGCACATAAAAAAGGGAACAAACTAGGATTCAGTTTAAAAGCCAACAATGATATTATTTTATCTGGATTGCCTTTTGGACTAAGGTTGGGTTTAACCGACATAATTTTCAGTTTGTGATCAACATTTTACCCACCTCAAGCCACTGGGATTTGGAATGACAGACACAAAAACCCCAAACTATTCCAGTTCAGATAACATGTGCAATCCTATCCATGTCTACTGTGAAGTAAATCCCATTGAGTTCAATGGCGCTTACTCATCGATAAGTGGATATAGGATTGTAGTCTTATAAGTTGGAACTATTTCCCTTTAGCTTTCTTGGTGTCATAAATTAATTTCAGGAACTTTTGTCTTATATAGAAAGATGCTGTCATATTTGGCATTTGATCAGGCTCACTGGTTAATTATTTCGTAATAATTTCGTTAGAAACCAATATAACATTAGCAGCACAATTTTCCAGAATGATACGGGATATAATCCAATTGGTGCCTTTTTGCTCATGGAAAGATTTTTGATGGATTGGATAGGTCTGCTAACAGAAGAGAAAGGAAAGTGATTTTTGTCAATTCATCCTTCCCCGTGCAGCCAGATACCACCTTTCACCCTGTTCTGGAGGGTTCCCCAACTTTCCGGAGCAAATCTTCAAGGTGCGCTGGGGCAGCAGGGAGAGGGGGAAGTTGCCAAACATAGCCTCTTATCCTCTTCCATTAACAGATGACTCTATTCATGGACTCTGCAGTCAGTTTCCTATTGCTATGTACGCAAGCTTCTCCTAAAATGGAATCTAACAAGGTTTTGCTTTAATGAAAACATACTGCCAGAACACAAGATGCTCTTGGGCCACAAGGAGGAACAAGAACGTTTGAGAGATTGCTCAGACTTTAAAAAACAAACAGGACCTTGAACTGGAGAAGTAGAGAAACAGACTACAGTAAGTGCTGACGAAATCTCCTTCATAATTCTCATCCGATGAGGCTGAGAGCTGCATGGCCTTCACCTTTATTCAGAAACAGCACAAATAGCTCCAGTCTAATCTGGGTTGACAACGTGAATGACTATTTTTTGAAAAGAACTGTGCGTCATTGCTTGCCTAACCACGTTCCAACGCATTTTACTATACAGTAGAACACAGCCTGTCCAAGATAGGAGCCTATGCAGCAACAGCAACTGAAGGACAAATAGTTCTAAGGCACTTTGATGAGTAATGTAACATAAGTGGGAGTTAGAATCTTAGCTGCAATAGATCGGTGCTGACTATACATTCACCACTGTGAACACAGTACTCCTAGGCACCATTTTATTGATATAAATTCCTGAGACCACTACTTAGCAATCTTCGAGCCACAGATGCAACAATGTCAGATTCTGAAGATCTAGATGCCCCAATCCCCCCCCCCCCCGTGTGTGTGTTTGTGTATGTAGGCTAATTGGTCACTAAAGCACTCTCTGAAGCTCCTTAGAAATGACAACTATTCTGGCAGAGTTTCATTATAAGTTAGAAAGGCAAATAGAGGATGCTTGAATACTTTCATCTTGAGTCAGAAGACTGAAAAGGACCCATTGATTTTAAATAGTGCCAACCCTATATACACTTGTTGAAACAACAACAACTAAGCTTATTTCCAAAGAACAGACAACGACCGTATTTTTCGCTCTATAAGACGCACCAGACCACAAGACGCACCTAGTTTTTGGAGGAGGAAAACAAGAAAAAAAATAATTCTGAATTTCAGAAGCCAGAACAGCAAGAGGGATCGCTGCGCAGTGAAAGCAGCAATCCCTCTTGCTGTTTTGGCTTCAGGGATAGCTGCGCAGCCTGCATTCGTTCCATAAGACGCACACACATTTCCCCTTACTTTTTAGGAGGGAAAAAGTGAGTCTTATAGAGCAAAAAATACGGTAATCACAAGAGTACAATTCACACATTGAGAGGCAATATAAGGGCTGCACATATTGAAAGATACAAACAGGAAACTAAACAAAATTATGAACGGCAGAGGAGCTGACTTAGCCTAAACACTCTCATCACACTCGCCAGAAATTTCTGCATTTTGTAGAGAAATCAAGTTCACCCCCTGTAGACCTGCAACTTCCACCTGCATACTTTGATGCCTTGATCACATGGCAGGTTCTCATGACAGATTCCCATGGTGATCAGCTGTTTTAAAAGCTCAAATGAAGATTAATTCATTATATCTAGCAATCACCAATTAACACGCTTGTAATAGATAATCCATACCTTTCCATGAATATTGAAATTACTGTTTCTCGGAGCGCTGACATTCTGAAAGCTTTTCTTGTACTGAGGAGCAGCTATCCAAGGTGAGTGGGGTGCAGGAGTTGCTATCATCATGAAGAATGGCTCAAAGTTGGATTTATATTCCAGAAAATCCAAGGACATGTTGGCCTGAAAATAATTATAATAATAATAATTATGAACTTGAAGCTAATTCTATTTTAATGCTGTCCAAGTAATCAGATACAGATTCTCTCAAGAGACTCCAAAATTACAAATCCCTGTTGCACTGGAAGAGTTACATGTATTTCAACTGTTCCTTTCTTTTGTATTTTCCTTTGAGCAGAAGTTAAATTCTATGTGAGAGGCAGGGAATATTTATTTCTTATTTTATTAAAGTAAGTACCAGAGTTCTTTAGGTCTAACATGTGATGCCATGCTAGTGTCCAGACACAAAAAGGAGGAAAATCTGATAAACCCATTGCTTCAAACTTATGCTATACCACTATGGGCAGCCATTCTTGTCCAACAATGCATTGCTATTATTTTAGGAAGTTGCCTTATACCAATGGTCAGACCACTGGTCCATGTTGGACTGTATTGCCTACTCTGCAGTCCTGCATTGCAGGGGACTAGACTAAATGAGCCTGTGAATCCCTTTCAACTCTACAATTCTACGATTCTATCACTGGCAGTAGTGATGTATGGAAGTGAAAGCTGGACCATAAAGAAGGCTGATCGCCGAAGAATTGATGCTTTTGAATTATGGTGTTGGAGGAGACTCTTGAGAGTCCCATGGACTGCAGGAGGATCAAACCTATCCATTCTGAAGGAAATCAGCCCTGAGTGCTCACTGGAAGGACAGATCCTGAAGCTGAGGCTCCAATACTTTGGCCACCTCATGAGAAGAGAAGACTCCCTGGAAAAGACCCTGATGTTGGGAAAGATTGAGGGCACAAGGAGAAGGGGACAACAGAGGACGAGATGGCTGGACAGTGTTCTTGAAGCTACCAGCATGAGTTTGACCAAACTGCGGAAGGCAGTGGAAGACAGGAGTGCCTGGCGTGCTCTGGTCCATTGGGTCACGAAGAGTCGAACACGACTAAACGACTAAACAACAACAAATCACTGGCAGCAGCCCTCCAGGACTTCAGACGGGGATCTCTCCCAGCAACTACATGGAGATGCTGAAGATTAAATATGGGATCTTTCCTATGGAAAATGTGCTCTGCAACTGAGCCACACCCCAATCCCAAAGACCGTAGCATGAAACACGAAGGGTTTGGTATTGTAAAAACATTTAGCGTACATGTTTTTGAGCATTGCTAAAAATAAAATCATCTTTGTAACACAGGTTAGTCATCCCGTTTAACTGTGACCTTTAATCTCATTATAATTTAATCTTATTATCACAGCTCTGCATTTTAACCTTCTCTTGCTTTTTCCAACTGTCATCCTGATAGCTATTAACAAACTGGTTACTGGGGCATAACTAGTTTGAGGACTTGTCCTGGGTTCAAAATGGTTGACCAAAATAACTGAATGACAATTAATCCTAACAAGGCTTACAATTTTTTATTTTTTAAAAAATAAATATAAAATTTTCTATTACCTCACGGTTATCAATTAAAAAACAACAACAATCTGTGTTATAGCTGGGCAGTTTTGGTGCCTTTCTAGAAAGTACATTTAAGGTACATTTAAATGCTTTGCGCTGCAGGACACCCAGTGTTCATTTACACTCAGGATTTTACCTTTGCTTCAGAATTATACTAGGAGTTCGACCCGATACAGTCTTGGAATCAAGCAAGAATTCATCTTGCTAAACACCTAATTGCTGAGAAATCCTTACCAGTACATCTGTCAGGTAATCAACGCTGTAGTTCTCACCATGCCTCCGCGCTTTTCCATTTACTGAAAGTGTGTAATTATAATACTTGGAATTTTTTTCCTGCGGAAGAAAACAAAAGCCACTTTATATATTCAAAAGGAGACATCCAAGGGGTTTGTTGTTAGAATGTTACTTGTCCCCAGTCACAATGAGATAAATTTAAATCCCAGTAAGACTTACCAAACTAACACACTGGTAATAAATAAATAAAGAATCATATGGCGCAGGGCTTAAAATGCTTCACATACCTTCTCAGTAATCTTTGCAACGCTATACAACAGAACCAGGCCTATATTGCACATGGAGGGGCTGAGAGGGAAAATCATGGAATGCCTAAGGCTACAGTGGTGAGTTAGTGGCTAACATGGCATTTGAGTTTTGAGAACTTTCTCTGTTAAACTCCCACTAGTGGCCACCATGCTACGACTCCTCTTGTGGGAATTCTACTGCAGTGATTGATCAGTTTACTTGTTTCAGGGTTAGTGTTTCTTCTTCTTCTTCTTCTAAACTCCTTAATACAGTGGTACCTCCGGTTACATACGCTTCGGGTTACATACGCTTCAGGTTACAGACTTCGCTAACCCAGAAATAGTGCTTCAGGTTAAGAACTTTGCTTCAGGATGAGAACAGAAATCGTGCTCCGGCGGCGCAGTGGCAGCAGGAGGCCCCATTAGCTAAAGTGGTGCTTCAGGTTAAGAACAGTTTCAGGTTAAGAACGGACCTCCGGAATGAATTAAGTACTTAACCTGAGGTACCACTGTATTATGAAGTACAGGTATGCAGATGGTCTGCTAGAATGATGGCAGGAATAAAAGGCCAATGTTAAAGGCTGCAAGGTCCCATGTTAATTATTTTTATTTCTGAAGGGCCCCCATCGTTTCAGTTTCAAGAATTAAGAGCTTGGCGTATTATAGGATGGTAAAACATATAACGCGAACTGTAGATATTTAACGGACACTTACCAATGCATACCAAAAACTCCATCCAGGAGGAACATGACCGATTCCTCCTGCATCTTCTGCTCCATACTGCAAATGAAAAGAATCCAATATTAAGCAAGTCATTAGTATTATAATTATCCCAACCAGAAAGCCTTCGCCTGACCCAGCCTTTCTCAACCTTGGGTCCCCAGAAGTTGTTGGACTACAACACCCATCATCCCTAGCTATCAGGATGAGGGGTCAGAGAAGATGGGAGCTGTAGTCCACAACATATGTGGACTCAAGGTTGAGAAAGGCTGGTCTAACCTATGGATGGCTATTGCCTGAGGACCTGAGTAGGGTTCCAAATTCATCTTATCCTGGGAATCATGGATTTTAAACAAGGGTATGGGAAGGGATTGCTTACGGTTGCAAGTTCACTCATACAGAAACTGGGTTGTGTCCCATTAGTATAAGGACTTCAGCCTGTGTGACAAGACTTCCTCTCTTCTTCCTTCATTCCAGGACAAAACTGCTCTAGAAAGTTTGGTGGGGGCACACAAAGAGTGAAGAGGGGGGAAGTCGTCTTGCGGCTCCACAGGTGGCTAATGCAGCAACCTAGCCTTTGTTTAGTTGCAAGAGTGTCTTCAATTTATTACACTGTCTCTTGTAGATTTTGTACATGATACACCAACTGTGCCTGATCACACCATGCTAGATGGCACCAGCTCTATCACAGAGCTTTACCACTAAAAGCAGATCCATTTGCTTGGAAAAAGGCAATTCTGGTGAAACAGCCACCTAAGAGTGCTTACAAGTGAGAGCTGTAATGCAAGTGTTTCAGAGCAGACATCTGTATGCAATAAAAGTCAGCTTTATTATGCTTAACAAACTACTCCTGCTCACTGCATATCCTAACCTCCCTTTCACACAAACTGCTACTTTTGAGGGGTTTTTTTAGTAAAGTCTCGATACACGCAGAAGCATTTTAAGACTGATCATTCATGCAAGATATATATGCACAGCACACACAAAACTGTACCTCGTTCAAGTATTTCCCAGCAAAGAACGTCTGGTAGCCGCACATGGACTTGAGGATGGCAGGAAAGGTAAATGGTTCCTGAATCTTCTGCCAGGATTTGCTACTGCAGTTTCCCTCCAGTGTGTTATTGACCACATGGTGGTTGTGTGGATATTTTCCTGTCAAGATGCTTGCTCTACTGGGACAGCACAACGCACTGGGCACATACTGAAGAAGTTAAAAGAACATGGGGAGAAAATCAAGTTGCATATTGTCAGAAATATCTACAATATAATTAATAACACTCAAGATTTCTGTCTATGAAATGTTTAGTATGCAAATCCCTTAAAATCTTTACACTATTCACCTGAAACTAACCTGCAAGCAAATTAGAAAGATCTGTATCTTATTGGCAGGGAGCAAATAAATGGTTACTTGCCTAGCTGTAAGAGCAATAAATTTCCTGCCTCTTCAACTTAATTTCTAAATTGCCCAAGGTAGCATACAGCAGCCTCATAAAAAGCAATCATTTGAATAGTTGATTGTTTCATCAGCCCTATGGCCTCAACTTATTGAGAAGGCTTTTCAAAGACAGCCCCATGTAGTGGGTGTTAGACTACCGTATCATTGATATATTCAAGACGGCAGTTTCTTGTAGACGTTATATAGCATAAGCCAAACATCAAGATGTCAAGTAGCAATCCACACACCCCTTTGCACTCGAAAGGGCGGGAACTATCAGAAATCTGCTTCCAAATCTCATACCTGCTTAACAGTTGAAAAGGATACCATGGTTGATGGGCACTGAGGAATCCGGCAAAATCAAAAGGAAGATACTTTTCAACGAGCTCCTGGGCAAATTTTCTACCAGGGTGATCAAAGCTGTTTTAGTCCAGAAACCACGTTATGAGTTAGACTGAAATGGACCCAGAAAAGCTTTGAATTGGGTTGCCACCATGCACGCTGAAATATCCTGCCCCAGAATGTGATGCTTCAAAGTGTAGTTGACTAGAATGGTAGGGCTTTTTCAAAACAACCTCTTTCTTTAAACTCAGTGTCATTACACCTCTCCTAGGGAGATATTCAGACTCTTCTAACCAGTCCACCCCAGGGCTGGCCACCTTAAACCAGCCATGCAGCGCAAGGATCACAATGCAAGTAAATGACCCGACCTCTTCAGGACTCCTGTGCACATCTTCAGGCTGCAGAAACTGAAAGTAATCTAAAGCTAACCAAGACTCAAATCAGATATCAACCTTTGTTTATAGCCAAAGTATCACCACAGCCACTCCTGACAGCAGGAAGGGGACTCTAGCATATAGACACAGGTTGTCCATTATTAATGTAAAGATTATCAAGTAGACTTTGAAACAGATGGAAATCAGAGATCCTAACATGGCAATGCTGAATCCCAACTAGGAGCTGACAGAGCACTCTGTTGCATTTCCAGCTAGAAAACAAACCGGGATTCTGGGAAACATTATGCTGTCCCTCTGGTTGAAAACAAAAGATGGAAAACATAGAGCAATACCAGAGAAGACTAAGGTGGCATCACCAGCCATTTTCTGTACTTTGTAGCACTCAGGAGGTAACCCCGTTTGAGAATGACTCTTCTTCATAAGAAAGATGCTCCAACTCCCAGTTGACTTAAAATTGCTATCTAAGAAACAGCAAAAGTCACCACCTGAATGCTATACCATGGAGAAACAGTGGAGCACCAAGGTAACAGTTCTTCCAGGTCTCTCTATGCCTTTAATAAACAATGTGTCGATTCATCCCTTGGGTCCATTTCTTCTTCCCTTTTTAGGTTTTCTTGTGAGAATGATACAATAAACTCAGCGGTAAAAATGGCAGTATTTTCAACAGCACAGCCTGATTCGGTACTTACTGCATTTGAGAAGGTTATCCCCATCTCTGCAATAAGAGCATTGGTCTTTTTCAGCGGTGTCTGAAAGAAAGGAAACACGTATAAAGACCTACAACTATAATATGACTCCACAGGAAGATTGAGGTGTTTATGCTTGCAAACCTGAACACACAAGAAGGGAATAAGCCCCATTGAACACAGTAGGCCTAACTTTGACTAAATACACAGAGGACTGCACTTGTTACTTAACGGGGCTTGTTACTTAAGTAAATAATTTCAATGCTGGACTTGCTACTTAAGTAACCAATTTCAATGATTGCTAACACCCAATACCAACTTTAAGAGTACCAAAACAAATTCTAGCTGTTAGTGTTTCATTTATTATTATACTAAAAGGAAACTTTCAGGCTTGCAACTTAAAAGGGAAACCAGCACTTATTGCTAAATACAGTATAAGCAATACTGTACCTTATTTACTAAACACTTCTCTGTCCAAATAGCCAAGGCTACTTACAACAATGCATAAAAAATATAAAAACAAACAAATTAAATAACCTCAACAGTATTCTTTCCCCAAACGAAGCAAAACAAAGCACCACAGATGGCCATAGAATCACAGAACTGTTGAGTTAGAAGGGACCCAAGGGTCATCTAGTCCAACCCCCTGCAATGTAGGAATCTCAGCTAAAGCATCCATGACAGATGGCCACCCAACCTCTGCTTAAAAAACCTCCAAGGAAGGAGAGGCCACAACCTTCCGAGAGCAGGTGATGAGCAAGTTTGTTGGTGCTGGAAAGTGAGAAGGAACTTAAATGTCTTATCTGTTCTTTAAAAAGCCCCCGCCCCTTCATTCTAGAATCCAGCAATTACTTCTACTAGCACATGGTTCCATAGCTCATAGATACTCTCCCTCTTATTCTGAAGGGATTGCCTGTGGATGCCAGGTTTGTGGCCCTCGTGTGTGTGTGCAGCTTCGTTTGTTTTTAATTGTAAATGGCCCACCTGTGAAGGGCCTTTTCCGAATGTGGGTGTGCTCATGTATGCTCTGTGTCTCTCTAAGAGAGCAATTCATGTGGGCAAAAATTTAGAAGTTTGTGGTTGTGAAGTACATGAGTCTGTGTGAGAGATGTAAGTGTTTGCGGGCTGTATGTGTGCAGTGAGTATGCAGTAGAGACAGTGGTGCGGCCATCTTGTGTATTTTTTCTGAACCTGGGGATTGGTCCATGTTATTAGATAGCAAGAGCATTATTGTGAGTGTTGCGAGAGAGAAATCAATCACAACCAGCAGGACACAGGTGACTTCCTGAAGCAAGTATGAGGTTGTCTGAGGGGAGGAGAAGCAGAAATGGCCCCACCTCTATTTTGAGTTATGCTTTGCCCGCCCCCGCCCCCCGACCAACAGCAGAAATTTTGCTATGCCACAGCCACATGGCAGCCCTTTTGTGACTGGCACCCACAGCACTGTCTTAAAAGCCAAAATGTGCCCACTGGTCTGATGGAAGAAGGATCAGAAGAAGAAAACAGCCATGGCCATTTTTGAGGCCTAGTCTAACCAAAAGTTAGCTTTGCCCATGTAGAAAAGGCCAAGGAGTGTATTGCTTCAGGTTCTTGCTGAATCCTTCTAACAAGGAAGAACATTCCTACACCCAGTGCTATTTCACTAATGGAAGTGATATGCTGTTGTAACCTGTTCAACACATTTCTATAATTGGAAACAAACAAACAAACAAACAAACCCCAGATCATTTCTCAAATGTACAAAATTCTGTTTCACTGAATAGGCTCGCAATGTGTTCTTATGCAACCTATGATAAATGCATTAGCTTAATTGGCATAGAGAAAGGTCAGTTTACACAACCTGACCATAAGGAATGTGCAGGCAAAACTTGAACATGTTGATTCTCCGATGGAGATGATCCAGTTGTGTACTTCCACTGCCACACCCAACATTAACTTCTAGTAAACCACCACATGCCCCCTCTTTCTCGGCATTTGTGGGAGGGGAAACCAAAGGTTGACCACCCTGCACCACGTATCAGATGCACACAACCAATTCTCCCCAGTTCTGGAGCCAAAAGACGCAACAGCCCTTTCCTGAACTACTTCACACCCAAGGGCCTTTCTGGCACACTTCCCCATTACAAAATAGGGGGGCTTCTTCTCTTTACAAGCACAAGAAAGCCAAGCTATATTGGCCTTCACGCCTCACTTAACCCTCCACCCCAGTGGATTCAAACCGCTCCTTGGGCATTCCAGCCTTGCCAATGCAATCCTATGACTCAATTTGTTCCCTGGAGTTCACGCCTGCCGAAGTGTGCACAGGATCGCAGCCTTAGCCTGGCTTCTAATCGGATGGCACCAAGGCCAGATTTAGGTTTGATGAGGCCCTAAGCTACTGAAGCTAATGTGGCCCTCTATATGTCCAGCTGTCCTTTGTCAACAAAGAATTGTTGCTGTTTTTTGTGTTGAATATATGCTATATGGTAATTTATGGACCTAATAGGTCCACTCTCCCCAAGAGAGTGAGGTCCTAAGCTATAGCTTGTTTAGCTTATACATAAATCAGGCACTGGGTGGCACCAAGAGGTTGAAAAAATATTTTTTGGGGGGTGGGGTAAGACCCCAGGTAAGCCCCGCCCTACACAACCGATCACATGATGCAGTGTATGCACACCACTTGAATGGCAATGCCCATCAACTTTGGAGGGGCCCGGCCCCCGGTTATATTTTATTTGGGGGGGGCGAAGGGGCCTCAGCTCCCTAGGAGTTGGCTCGTCTGGCACCTCGGAAATAAGCAGGCTCCCCTCCAGGCACGTACGCTACGTCGAGGGTTGGGAGAAGGGCAAGCCTCCTTCTTCTCCAAAGGCTGCCGTGGCCATTTCCCTCCCAGGTCTCGGCTCTTCGGCCTCTTCTCTCCCATTGCAGAAACCCCTCTCTCTTTTCCGCGTGCGCAGGCCCCCAATCCAGAAACACCCCCCCTCCCCCGCCTCCGCCCACCACTTCCCAAGGGAGGCGCGGCGTTACCATTCCGCCCAGATAGGTGTCCTGGTCGTCGGTCAGGATCAGCACCACATTGGGCTTCCGCGCCCGGGCGGAGGTGGCGGAGGCCAAAGCGAGGGCCGACGACAAAAGCAGGAAACGGAGAGTCCAGGCAGAAGCAGCAGCAGCGGCGGCGGCGCGCGCCATCCTTGCAGCGGAGCTGGAGCGCGGAGGGGGAGAGGCGAGCCGGGCTGGACTGTCACGAGAGAGAGAGGCGCGCGCGCTTCCCCGTTCCATTCTCCCCGCCCCCTCTTTTAAGTACGCCGAGAAGAGGCCGGGGAAGCGAAAGGAGCCCTGGCCACGTGATCCAGAGGACTCCTGCGGCGCTTCCGCGGCGCCGGTGACGACAGGCCATAAGCCCCGCCCACTGACCATTTGCTGCTCCCGCCTCTTGGCCGCCGAGCTTGAGTCGCAGAATGGCAGAGCTGTTAAGGGACCCCTTGCAACGCTGGAAGCAGAAGTCTCTCTTTTTATATAAAATATACTAAATAAAATAAAATAAAAATCCTTCCAGTAGCACCTTAGAGACCAACTAAGTTAGTTATTGGTATGAGCTTTCGCACACTTCTTCAGATACCTTCTTTCTATATATATACAGTATACAGAGCTAGATAAATGGCGGCTATGTGAAGATAGGGACGCGGGTGGCGCTGTGGGTAAAACCTCAGCGCCTAGGACTTGCCGATCGCATGGTCGGCGGTTCGAATCCCCGCGGCAGGGTGCGCTCCCGCTCCTCGGTCCCAGCGCCTGTCAATGTAGCAGTTCGAAAGCACCCCTGGGTGCAAGTAGATAAATAGGGACCGTGACCCGGAAGTGTCTGCGGACAGCGCTGGCTCCCGGCCTCTAGAGTGAGATGAGCGCACAACCCTAGAGTCTGTCAAGACTGGCCCGTACGGACAGGGGTACCTTTACCTTTACCTTTATGTGAAGATTGGGACGCGGGAGGTGCTGTGGGTTAAACCACAGAGCCTAGGACTTGCCGATCAGAAGGTCGGTGGTTCAAATCCCCGTGACGGGGTGAGCTCCCGTTGCTCGGTCCCTGCTCCTGCCAACCTAGCAGTTCGAAAGCACGTCAAAGTGCAAGTAGATAAATAGGTACTGCTCCAGCGGGAATGTAAACGGCGTTTCCGTGCGCTGCTCTGGTTCGCCAGAAGCGGCTTAGTCATGATGGCCACATGATCCGGAAGCTGTACACCGGCTCCCTCGACCAATAAAGCGAGATGAGCACCGCAACCCCAGAGTCAGCCATGACTGGACCTAATGGTCAGGGGTCCCTTTACCTTTACCTATGTGAAGATTAAAAAGTATGTTCCCCCACCCCCGTGACTACAAAAGCACCATTGCTGATTTCCAACAGTGCAATCCTATGGATGACTACACAGAAATAAGCGCTACTTACTTAAGCGGGGCTTTGGAGGTTGCTTCTGAGCAGCGGCGTAGCGTGGGGGGTGCAGGGGGGGCCGGCCGCACCGGGCGCAACATCTGGGGGTTAGGGTTAGGGGGCGCAAATCCACGGGTTAGGGGGCGCAAATTACTTGCCTTGCCCCGGGTGCTGACAACCCACGCTACGCCACTGCTTCTGAGTAGACAGGGTTGGCTATTGGTCATTAATTGATACTGCTAGCATTGAGAGATAGGCCCGAAACAACACTTTGAAAGTGGCACTGTGCACGACTTACTAGAATAAGGCTAAATGAAAAAGACAGGAATGGTTCAAAAAGATAAACACTGCAAATAGCTGCCTGCAGTGTTCCTGCTCATTTGGTGCATTTAGGGCAGCCATTTTGTCACACATAAACAGCACAATTATCTCTGACAGTCAGAAAGCTTAGCCAACACTTAATTTATTGTGCTCAGACTTGGCTGGAAGCCCCAGCTTCTGATGTTGACATTGCCCAAGCAATCCTTAAAATGTGCAGTGCTGGCTGTGGTTGAAGTGAAGTTGTCTGAAGATGTTGAGGCGCCCTCTGCTGGCTGAAGAGTCAGCACCAAAATAAGATTTGGGAGGCTGCCAAGGTGAGACAGGCTGTTATCCTAAACACATTTTCTAGGGAGGGAGCTCTAGACATTACTTACTTTGGATATGGTAGGACTTGCTTCAAAATAATTGTGCCACACATACCGGAAGGGGTGACACAGGAGAGGATTATCAAATTATGACCTGTGTGGAGAAAGTGGGTGGAACTAATTTTTCTCTCCCTTTAATACAAGGGTCGGAAACTACTGTAGATCCAGCCAAAAGGCTGAATACAGAACTGGCCTGTTCTTCATGGGGCACTTTGACACTTCAGCATTACACCTAGTGTGCTCCTGATTCTCCCTTTCCAGTTGCAACTCAGCACTTTCTGAATGTGGCAACAGAAAAGGTGCCGATTCAAAAAGCACTGGATTCTACCAGAGGCTGCAAAGGAAGACTCAAGAGCACACCTAGAACATGATCTTAGTTCTTCCTTTTCAACTTGATGCTGCAGTTCAAGCTGCAGTCATATGATGGTCACATGGACATAGTCTGAACCAAATCATGCCGCAGACCAAGTGTACCGGCTTGATGGGTCTAATTTGGGTCAAAGGCTCACCTCCACTGCTATTATGCCAGAACTTGGGGCCACCCAATAAAACAGTATTGGAGGATTCAGGGTAAAAAAAAAGAGAGATTTTTTAACACAGTACATAATTTATGGAATTTGTTGCTACAAGGCAAGCCAATAGCCGCCAATTTAGCTTTAAAAGGGTATTCACCAAATCCACGGAGAATAAGGTAATCAACACAATACAAATCTTTATTACGGTCATAGATCAGCATATAGGTAATCAATAGCTTTTACTCATGACTGAATCTTCAGGTTCAGAGATAGCATTGTGCAACAGAGCTGTTGCCTTCAGGTCCTTTTTGTGGAATCCCAGAGGAACTGGTTAGCCTGGACAAGGTGAAACATTTGTCTAATCCAGCAGGGCTCTCCCTATGTTTATTAGTGATTAGTATGTCATCCAGCTTGGCAAGGAAGGCTATTAATACTCCTATGATGACGGAACTGAGGTCAAAAGAGATAACTTCAGTGTCACATGTGAATTAAGGATGGCAGGACATTTTAGCAGAAATCTGCCTTAATAACTGGCCCATACTCCCAAAAGAAACAGAGTTAAGATTCTTTGGGAATGGTCATGCAGGACAATATTCACCAGGCATAGCTTAAAAAAAAAAAATCAGTACAGCACTGTGATGGAGGAGCTGTGCTTGTGAAACTTCAGCATCACTGTTAACTTTTGAGAATGACAGCCTTACTCATCAGATACATGAACTATTATTGTCAGTTAGCATACTAATAATAAACAGTGATAGCAGAAGTCTAACCATATTTACTCAGAACTAAGTCCTATTCAATTCAACGGGGTTCCCAAGGAAGTGGAGTTAGGATTGCAGCCTCTCACACACTCACTTTTGGCAATTTTGCCACTGCTGTTTTCTGATCCTGTTTTGATGGGACAGCTTTTAGCTTTTTAACTGAGACAGTTCTATGAGACAAACACCATGAGCATTCATACCAGCAGGAAGGAGCAGTAACATGATCATCTTGGGTTTTGCTGTACTAATTTACTAATATTTCCAGGGATGTCAGCTTGAACAAAATATGGGGGCGGGCAGGTAAGCCCCATCCCAAATAATTGATCACAAGGCACACACACAGACTTTGAATGGCAATGCCCAAAAACTTGAAGGGGGGAGCCCAGCCCTCTCAAATATTTTATTGGTTGGGACCTTGGCTCCTTGGATTTGGCTCCTATGCTTTGCTCTAAATTCCAGAAGAAAGACGGAGGCAGACAACAACAACCTCCAGGTGTGTTGCAGTTGGACCCCTCACCTCCCTGTGATCAACTGCCATCACCTGTATCTTGTGGGAAGGATCTGGACGGACACTTTCCTAGTCAGTCCAAACTCTTTATTGCACTTTATTTCCTATAATTTTTATTAAATTTTCTGTTTTACATTTTAGAATATTCATTTAAACAACCTTAAAATATCAACGACTCCCCTTCTTCTCTTTCCATGGTTCATTTTGCATAACATAAATCCCTGCATATTTTACATAAACTAAACCATTCAGTATTCCATTATTACATCCACCAAAACTTATTTACACTGTTGAATTTATCTTTATGTTGCCAATGTTTTCAGATGTACACAATTTCCCCCATATATTCAATAAACATTTTCCTATCTTCTTTAAGGGACGCGGGTGGTGCTGTGGGTTAAAACCACAGAGCCTAGGGCTTGCTGATCAGAAGGTCGGCGGTTCGAATCCCCGCGACGGGGTGAGCTCCTGTTGCTTGGTCCCTGCTCCTGCCAACCTAGCAGTTCAAAAGCATGCCCGTGCAAGTAGATAAACAGGTACCGCTCCAGCGGGAAGGTAAACGGTGTTTCTGTGCACTGCTCTGGTTCGCCAGAAGCGGCTTAGTTATGCTGGCCACATGACCCGGAAGCTGTACGCCGGCTCCCTCGGCCAGTAAAGTGAGATGAGTGCCGCAACCCCAGAGTCGTCCGTGACTGGACCCAATGGTCAGGGGTCCCTTTACCCTTTACCTCATTTTCTCTAAACGTATTTCCTTTTTCTCTTATTCTGTGTTAAGTCTGCAAGCTGTGCATATTCCATCCGCTTAAGTTGCCATTCTTTGCTCGATTTCCATTTTTGGGCTAACAAAACAGGGGCCGCAGTGTACAGTAGTGGCATATATAAAGAACCTTGATTGCGCTTTCAAAACACTTGCTTGAACGTGACTTCCAGCCACCTTGGTAGGATTTTGACCCTGAATGCTGGGATGCCAACACTGGCGGCCCAACAAGAAACACAACCACAAAAACGGACTGGAACCCTAAACTGACAAAACCACCAAACTCGACGATCACTTCCTCCGTAAGCCATTTCTTTCCCTGGGAAGTTCGCGCCAGAGCGGTGATTTGGGGAGACCCCATTGGCCGGCGGCGGCAGGTGCACCGCACGGAGGAGCTTGGAAGCCATAGACGCGCCGACGGCGCGTTCCATTCTCCAGGGGACACCGACGAATGTGACCTGCGCAAAGCCTCCTTTGCAAAAGAGAGTTTCTTTTCCCCCTCCTCTTCCCTCCACCCCCCTCGCCTCGAGGACAATGGGCCAGACCCGGAACTCTGGCCCTGGGATTTGCCACAGGGCGCGCGCCACCCTCAGTCGCCTGGCAGAGGCGCGAGCGAGCGCAGCGAGGCGGCTCCTACCCGAGCGAGGGAATGGAGCTCGCCGAGGTGGACCTGGGCGACCCCGGGGAGCAACCGGGCCGGGCCGGGGTGTGCAGCACGGACAGCC